CAGACACGTGCAGATAAGAACATACCAAGGAACCACGTGGAGACAGCGGTGCTGGGTCACGGCACAAGTGGAAAATAAAACGCGGCGGTGCCTGTTGAACATCACGTTCTGCGAGTTCACGCGGTGCTTCTGCCCGTGCAGGAAGGCACGGCGAGGCGGTGGCACGGGAGCGTGCGGGAAACACCGCGCTGAATGTCTGCTGACAGCGAGTTCCTCTTGGGAGCYGTTGCTTGCTCGTCCTGGGCTCGTTTGTTCTTTCATTAGAAGTTCCACTGCTTCTGGCACAGGAAGATAACCAAGGGGAGGGAAAAAAAGGAAAAAAAAATAAGCATATCGCAACAAATTATTTTGGGTCCCTCAAAATGTTTATTCCAATTGTAGATTTAAAAAATATAATAAAGTGTAATAAAAAATGTTAATAATGTAAAAGATGTAAATTTTTTCTTCTGAAAATACATGCTTAGGGTATTTGACAGCGTCAAAAATGTATGTTATCCTAAAATGAGTCYGTAATGAATGACCCAAGCCAATCTGAAGGTTTAGCTGTATTTTTGAAGTTGTGTTTCCTGAATTCATAGAACTTCATAAGGAGTTGATCCAGATCTCTAAAACACCTGCTGTAGCAGTCAAAAACTCTCAGCGAAAAATGTTAGCGCTGAAATGAAAACAAAAAGAGAAAAATCATTTAGGAGGAAGCAGCTCTAGAAAAACACTTGAAATATTTACATCCTTCAAGGTTTTTGAAAGAGAAGATTAACACACTGCTAATCCTTTCCTGCCTCCCCCCCACACTTTATTTAGGGAACCGATGTGATCCTGTGCAGTACAAGTGGGAGGACTGTGGTTTATGATGGTGTGTGTGATTTACAGCCTGTGTTTCTGCAGTYGCCGGGTACATTGAGGCTGGTGTTCAGAGGTCATCTCCGTGCCCCATCCAGCGAGGYGCTGAGCCCCTTCTTGGGACACGCACGCGGTCCCGGGGCGCAGTGAGAGAGATCTTTGCTCTGGGATGGGAATGAGCATTGCCTGCTTCGCTCTCGGGGTCATCGATCACCCGGCTGGAAGACATACGTTTCCTGCAAAACAAGTGTTCCATTGCTCTCGGTACCTGGGAATTCCCATCTCTGGGAATGCCGGAGCGGAGGGCGGCTGGGCTCAGAGCAACCGTCGGCTCGTAAGCGTGGGAGGAACTGGAGCTCTGGCTCGTTTGAGCTGGGGCCTTTGCTTAGGCATCGACTGGAGCAGCTCTTTAGTGAAGGATCCCAACTGGTATCTGACGTGGGCAAAATCCCTGCGTGCGGGAAGACTTCGGAGCTGCAGGTGGAGGGTGAGTGACAGTGCGGGGCACGGAGCAGCCTCCATCCTCATGTATGACCAGGCAGTGTCTCCCAGTGCTTCTCTCCTGAGGAAAAGCAGCATTAATAACAACTGTTGCAACTTAACACCAAATCCCCTTTCTGCTAATATTTTCTTGTGTTTATCTGAATGACAAATTCTGAGTGTTTCTGATTTAAGGGATTCTGATTTAAGGCATTTTCTGCTTTATCTTTTGTTAAATGATACGTTTTCTCAAGGGAACTGGAAGTAACTGAACAGTTGACTGGGCAATAGGGAGAATATTCGCACAGGCTCCGTGCTTCCAGCATTGAATCAGTGACAAAGCAAGTAAATAACCAAAGAAGAGGAAATGTGAAAATACTCTTCCCATCATTATGCACATTTTAGTTTAAGAAACCAAATGTACATGTCCAGTGGTATAAAGAAAACTCAGTGCAACTGAGAGCTAAATGTCTTCTGAAAAACTGTAGCTGATGCAGAATGCAGGACCAAGGGATTCAGAAATGGGAACCTTTTAGTTAAAACCCTTTGTAAACAACTTGGGAAGGTGACAGCCTGAGAGGCCAGAAGGTCTAAAAGCAAGGGTAAGCAGCTGTGAAGGGAGGCACAAGTATATGAATCTTTTTATTTTGCATTTTAATAAAAATGGCTGTCTGAAAAACATCCCGAAGAGTCAGCCACCCACATTCTTCATCCAAAGAATCAAAGATTCCCAGCACACAGACTTGAAGATGTAATTACAGTACACAGAGATTTGGAAGAGCTGAAAAGTCACCATAGCAACCTCCTGGCAAAAATCTTTGCACATCCAAAGAAAAGCAAAATTCCTTTTTATCTGGGGGCCCCAGTGAGTCTGAACGTGTTTGTGCTCATGGCCATTTTCTCTTCATTTCACTGTACTCTTTAGTTACCTTTTTCTATGCTAGGTCTTCAGCATCCTCTTCTACAACTTACCAAGAMATTTTCAGCCAGAAAATGAAGATCTTGCATTAGCATTAAAAGAGAGTGCCCTCACTTGGCATTCTAGGTCCTCTGCAGCGGTCCCTAGCAAAGACAATAAATAAACCATTCAGGCAGGATATTTTAAAAAGCTAAATGAAACTAGAGACAGGAAAACAGAGCAAGATGGAGAAAACAGAGAAAAAGAGCAGGTTGGCGTTCTCAAAAACTGCTCTGGCATCACAGCAAAAGCTCCTTCCATGCCCTGAAGCCACAGCAGTAGTTTGATAGATGCAAAAAAAATAGGTGACTTCTAAAACACTCACACTTGCAAAGCCTGGTTTGGTCCCACGCTTGAAGAAAGCCAAACACGGCTTCTCTGCAGAAGAGGAGATGGGAATTTCTTGAAACTTGTGRGTTTGAAGGAACGAACTGGGCTTTGCTAGATATTGTGGTGAAAAAGCTCTGCCCAAGGCGGACCAGGAGGAACTCTGCTGTCTGAGGCAGGTGGATGTGTGCTGAGATGCTGGGTGCAATTGGGTCTGTGCTGGTGCCAGTGCCTGGGGGGAATTGTGGAGTTTGGGGGTGTCTATAACCAAGAGGAGCAGGAAAAAGGTGCAGACAGATGACTAGATTATAAGGAGAAGGGGAAAACATTTCAGTCCTGCTTAGAAACTAGCGGCTCTGTTTTGAGGAGCAGGATGTCTGCAGCGTCAGGCAGCCTTGGGAGGTTCAAGCTCGCTCCAGGTTCCCTTGTGTCCCCAAGCAGCTTCAATTAAGGGGCTGGACTGCTGGGAGCCGCTGCCAAACTCTCCGGGTCGTGCACACTCCTGCAGGAGACAGGCGCAAGCCCCAGGCCTCTGCACAGACCCTTTCCTTCCTCCAGAACTTGCAAAATTCAGGACTTAACCTCCAGATGACCAAAGCGACAGACACCCAGGACCACCCTCATGGTGCCTCTCAGTCCTTGGTCTCCATAGACCACATCTTTCTCAGCAGCTGGCAGTATTTCTAGAGCTAGGCAGTGATTGATTAATGTAGTTGCAAGAAGGAAGAAAGCTCCAGGATGATCTCTCCATTATACAATTATCTGCTATAAACAGAGGCTAGAGAGCTGCCGGGGGAAAATTAAAACTAATGTTTGCTGCTGCAGTCACTTCTGAAACAGGAACAAGGAGAGCAGTTCAGTTGTTTCTTTCTAATTTATGTTTTATAATACTAAATGTTCTGGACTTTGCTCTGGACAAAACTTATTACAGCTCCATGACGTACCACAGGCTGCAAACATAATGATTTGTTTCTTAAGTGTTATTGCAAAAGTCAACAAATCATTGCAGCAGTAATAAAGTAGAAGGTTGGGAGGGGAGATCTGTTGTTTTCCAACAGCTAAGGAGGGAGACCTCAGAATGGAAATCCCCTGCTCATTATCTGTCCCACTAAAAACATCCCAACTTCCCACCTGATTTTCTGTTCATCTCCAGGAGGTTTTTGCCATCTGACAGAGGGAACAGTGTGGAGCACATAACAAAAACCTGCCTCGACTTCTGTGCTACCCAGGGAGGTGAGTTTTTGAGCACCTTTTAGTGACTATAGTATTTTTAGAAGTAGGTACAAAACAGCTGACATACACAATAATTCCTATTTAGATAATACAGCGAATGGAAATGGGATGAGGTTTCCTAAGTTTTTAATGAAATTTGGAAAGGAAATGGAGAAAGTCTCTGTTAGCTCTTATATTGCTCTATAGCTCTTATACTTTTATAACATTTATTTTGTATGTCTGGATACGAAGGGACAATTTCCATCTTGCTACTGCTGAAACTGTAGTAACCTGTAGCAGAGAGTCCAAGGCAAAGGCTGAGTTAGATAGGAAGCTGAGTTAGATATGAAGCTGGGTAGCTCTACTGAAGGAGCTTGGCCACCTTAAACAATTTCAGGCTCTCATTTATCCCACGCTATTATTCTAAATTCATTGTTATTAATTGAAGACTTAATTTGGCGTGGTGCTAGATCCAGATATGCCCATGATTCCCACTGGAGTAGTGAAAGCCACAGCAGGGGAGTGTGTAGGACATCAGGACTAAGTCCTGGACTCTTGGGCATCTAGGCTGTTTGACATCTCACTCTCTTTGGTTTAACTACAGTCATTTTCAAAAGTGATTTGGTAAAACTGGAGCACAAAACTGCATCATCTTTTCCCAAATTAGAGAAGCATACTCAGATTTTAAGTGTTGAATGAATGTTTATACCCCAGAACTGTCCTCCAGTTAAATGCATGGCCCCAGGGCTTAATTAAACTGATGAAAGTTTGTATGTAGATAGAGCCCAATAATGAGAAAAAATATTTTGTTTGCCAGTGCTGCCTGTGAACCATAGGACTAAAGCAAGAGGTTTATGCTTCCTGCAGGGTGTTCTCTTCCTGGCTCCTTGTTTTTCCCACATTTGTAAGGAAAAACTGTATATTTTTTACTTCTGCAGAGACTAGTGATCTAGTGATATAATTCAAGGAAACAGGGAGTGAAGACTCCTAGGTTCTTCTGCTGTGAATGTCATTTCAGGAAACTCTGCCTCATTTTTCCCGAAGTGAATGGAATGGAGCCATTCTTCCCCCAGCAAATAATCAGTTGTTGTTGTTGTTTTTTTTTTTTTTTTTCAGCTGAGTGTGTGGCAAACAGGTGAATGTCATTACCTCTCTCTTTTCTTTTTAAGAACATGCCTAGAAAATGAAGAGGTCCATGTGGGGCCCACAGCAGTCCTCTTTTGACAAGGTTCTTTGCATCCTGATGGTTGCTGCTGGCTTTTTCCTCCTTGCAGGTACAGTAATTCCCCTCAGGAATAACTCCAGGGATGGTTCTGTCGGGTGTCCCTGGCTGCTAATGGACTCTGGGCAATAGAAATATTCTCTTGGTATTCTGTTTATGCTGTGAGAGCAGGAAGTTGCACTAGGACAGCTATATATTGCTTCTAAAGACCTCCAGAGAGTTGAACTCTGTAGATGGATTGTTTCCTGCTTGCTGCTGATTTGAAGTATATGAAGCAGAAGAGAAACATGTCTGATAGTTCTGCAATCCATGACATGCATAACCTTTATCAGAAGTGTAAATAGTCACTGGAGATATATAGGTCAGGTTAGATTTGAGGGTTTTATAATATCTGAATTATGTGGCCAGCAATCAGGTTGGAATAACTTCATTTGAGGAAAATGCTGTAAAAACACCCCCAAGATACACTTATAACAGTGCTCAACATAATGGCAGTTCTTATCTAGAAGAAATACACTCTGAATTAGAGAAGCACATGCAGACATGTGATCTGAATGGGAAGTCTAAAAATGCAAATCTCCTGTGCAAGAGCAGCCTGAGACTAAGAATCCCCATCCTGATGGGGAATGTGCAGCCACCCGCCCCAGAGAGAAACATTTTGCKGGGGTCAGACGGAGCGAGCAGCAAACTTGGCTCCTGTCTTTTCCTGGGAGAGACAAAAGACAGAAAACAGCAGTTGTGCTGCTGCCAGGACGCGTTGCCCATGGATGGTTTCCTTGTGTGGCTTTGGGCAGATCCACGGAGATCTGTGCCTGGTGAAAGGACGTGGTTGTGGCTGCTGGGGAAGGTAGAGGGGCTCTCTGGGAATGTCACCAAGGTGAATTCAGAGGCCAGAGGGAGATGTGTGCCTGTGCTGTATGTACAGCAGTGGATGGTTAATGTGGARTGTCTAACCCAGAGGATCAGAAGGAGTCGAGAGCCCAGGTGCCCCGGCCAGCCTGCTCTGGGCACTGGGGCTCGTTGCTCCATAGCTGCTGCTCTGCTCCTCTGCAGTCAGGCTTGCACGGCTACCGCTGCCACAYGTGGGCACGTTGCTGCCTGTGGGTTTGTCAGTGAGGGTCTGGCCCCTGCCAGAAAAACCTGTGTGAGGAAAAACACGGGGAGATAGTTAAAAAATGAAGGGGGGTGGCGGGAACTCTTAAACAGCTCTCTAGAGCACTGAGGACAGTCCTTGTGATACCTTCAGCATATATATGTCAAGGTTTTGCTGATTTAAAAAGGGCAGGGTGATATGTCACTTGGGACCAAGCCTGCCAACAGCTCCCTTGCTCGGAGTGGGCTGAACCAAGAGCTTGCAGCGATCACCCAGCGCAGTGCTGAGCCACGCAGACTCCAGGCCTGCATTCTGTGGGTTTCCCATTTGGCAGTGTTCAGGCCTTCAAGTTTTCCTTTGCACAAAGAAACTTATCTGGCCCTTAAGGGGAGTGTAGGAGGCCTCTGTGCTAAAAATGCCAAAGGCAGCAGAAGACAGAAATAGAAGTGTGTATGTGTGTATATAATATATATATATTTAAATCATCTTGTGATATTATTGAAAAGAATGATCTGAAAAATAAGCTGTTCTCTCATGATAGCTATAGCTTAGTTATTCAAAGCAAATGTCACAATAGAAAAGTATCTGAAACAGGTCACATGGCAGCTTTCTCTGAAAAATCACACTTTATTTCCTTTCCTCACCCTTTTCTGTTTTTTCCCTTGCAGAAACACATAATCTGCAGGGAGAAAAACTGGATTTACTGGGAAGGAATGATAAGTATGTGTCTCTAGTGAACCACAGCATCCCTCAGCTGTGTCAGTTCACCGTGTGCATTGATCTAAACCGAACCGCCAACATAAGTTCATGGGCAGCCTTTTCCTACGACACGAACACCTCTTCCACTGATATAAATGATATAGAGCTTGGACTCTCTGGTGAAAATAAGCAGCTCAGACTGTACCTTTTTGGGACCAAGAGAGACATTGAGCTCGATCTAGCTGTTTTTGTCTGGTACAGCGTGTGCTGCCTGTGGGACGTCAGGACGCAACTGCTGCAGGTCTACTGTGATGGTAACCTGCTGCATAACGAAACCCTCAAGCACACTGAGTGCCTGAAACCCAGCGGGAGCCTCGTGCTGGGCCATCTGCACAAAAACCAGGATGGCCTTATAGTGCGGGTAAGCAACAGCTTCATCGGYAGCCTGTACTATTTCCAAATGTGGGACCGCACCTTGCCGCAGGAGGAGCTCCTGGCGTGCACCTCGGGCACTGCTGTCAGCTGGGAGGACAAGTACTGGGACTTCAGCAGCATATTTCCAGTGGCTGACCGGCACCTGCGCTGTGGTGAGTCTTGGCAATGTTTTTTTTCCCCTCGTGGTTTCTGTATTTCTGGAAAGCGCGTGTTTGGAAGTGAAGGATGCTCTGCTGCTCMAGCAGGAGCTGTTGGATAGCCCTGGAGTCTCAGGGCTGTCGCCACACGTTGGGTTTGCTGCTTTTTGCTGTATTTGGCTCTGTTGGGCTCTTCTCRAGGCAGGGGTAGAGGCTGTGGATGGGGAAGGCTGGCAGAGCCAGGCTCCAGCAGTCCCTATAGCCACCAAAATCCCTGGAGACTGCTGCCCTCCTGGGATAAGCCTTCCCTAGGGCATGTGGATAAGCCTGTGTRGGGTGTTAACCCCCTGCGCAGGTGGCCTGGCACTGAGGGAGCTCAAGCTCCTTTTCCAATGTGTGGAACAGCATTTAACTGCTGCCATTAGCTAAATGAGAGTAATCAGTGGCTGGGCTGGGCCTGGATGGATGAGGCTGGTGAGGCCCAGTGCTGCCTCCTCATTTACACTCGGCCTATGCATGCTGCACAGCACTCAAACCCTGCTCCGGGCACCAACACTGTAAGGTACCTAATGTTAATGACACATTGTGGTATTTAGGGGCTTCCTAAGGATAGGGAATGAGCCTTTACCTTTCCTCCATAGGCTGGTGGTGTGCTGCCTCCCTGCCCTCGGGACAGTTGACAYAGTGGGGAAGGTGTGTGCTGGGTCTGGCAAGGAGAAGCTGGGTTGTGTTCACTGACAGGAACTTCCAGATGAGCACCTAAAGTCAAAACTTTCATGCAGAGTTCTTGAACTATAAGACAAATCAAATMATTGACTCTAAGGTATCTCTTCAGAAGTGCACAAAAGCCAGATCTGTTTTAATAATAATAAAGGACATTAAAGAGGCTTTTGATGTGTACAGAGCTTTCTTTTCCCCTCTGGAAAGATCCTCAGAAGAGGTGACTTGCTCTAGTTAGCAATTCTCCAATACAGCCCAAATTGGACACTCATTCCGGAAAATGTTGGCCCAAATATTCAAGATTATCATCAAGGGGAGGGAGCAGATAATCCCGTCAGAAGTGACGGGCGGCATCCACGCACGATGCCAGGTCATGTCCCTGGTGCTGGAAACTCCGGATGGGCTGTTCCACACTGGGGCGAGRGTTGTGGACTCCGACTTGCCCAAGGATTGTGAGCAGGGTGAGGGCTGCAAAGTCCTAGTTATAGGCATGCTCATAAAATTTAATCATGTGTGAGAACCTGTTATGTGTTGTATCTTGGCAAGATCTTTCCTTCAATAATAAATCTCCTGCCTACTTTAATTAAATGACATTTACGAGCTGGATATTGCACGCAGAGATAGAGACCAGGAACTAAATGCAGATAGGAGCGAGTGGCACAAATCTGAGTGGTGTTAGCCCTATTGCTCAGATAAGGGAAGCTGTACAGACATGCATTTACATGCATTGTACACGTGCACTTATAGACACTCCATGAAAATGTTTCATGCACACATGGAAAATAACTGTGCAGAAGCGTTGCTACATAAAGAAATGTCATGTTGCAGTGCTATTTTAATGCTAATGATGCATCTGAAATTGTCACTTATGCCCTAGGTCAATTACTGCCTTCAAGTTGTGGGGGCTTTTTTCCACTTCATGTATATGTTGTTTGTGTGGGCACTGCTTCAGTTTGAAGTGCTGCTTTCACCCCAGCAGTAGAGAGTTCAAGGCACTGTGCAGGGACGCTGTGCAGTGTTGTGTATTTTGGCAGTTGCATGCTAATTTAGAAAAGCCAGTGCTCCCTTATGTATCATGAGGGAGACTTTCTATATGAATATAGCAGGAAGCAGCTTTAAAAAGGTGTTGACTTTTCATGAGTCATTATGATAGCAATTGTACTTGACTGTGCTTGATAGGACATGTAAWGTTACTGTTTTGCTTTTTCCTTAGCGTTTTTGAAGGTAATCTCTTACTTTTCCAGTTTAACTGGGCTTTTGCTAAAAGTGCAGAAGTGTTTGTTCTTATCCTCTCAGTGAGTCACAGTTTCATCTCCTCCTCCTCTCATCTTGCCCACACACTGATTTCTGATTTTCTTCTTAGTTTAAACTGTATGGGAGAGGAAATGTAAAATATCTGGAGATGACTATTAAAGACATAAAGTATATCTATGACAATTTCACTATTAGTTGGTCTAATTTCTCCTGTTCTTCTGTTGGAATCGTGCATACTTACAGAATGCCAAATAAACCATGTATTAAATTATCGTATCAAACCCCATGATCGGGCCATTTAGAATGTCAGTAGCTTCAGATTTCATCTGTCATCACTCTTTAGCCCACATTTTTTGAATGGAAATACGTGCATGTTAATTAAAGCAAATGAAGTTACTGGATGCAGGTGGCTAGTCCCACACCTGCTTGCTGGTAATGATCCTTGATGTGTAAGAATAAACAGACTTTTTTTTTCCTTAAGGTGATAAGGAGAGAGAGAGAGAGAAAGCAAGAGATTAGAATCTGTGAAGCTGTAATTATGTTTGTTTTGTCAGGAGATAAAAACAGCATTGTTAGTTACATTCCTAATTAGAATAGGGTTAGGTTTTGTTGTCCATTTCTGTAATTGTTTTTTCTAGTAGAAATTTTAGTAGATTTTTCTGATTCACACTGCGTGATATCATACATCACCCCAAGGTAATACTTTTTTGAAGTATTACACTGTTAATAACAAGCACAGGACAGAGCCCATAATCACCAGTGCTCTGTAGACTCCTATTGGGAGAAAATCTGCAGCACTGACAATGAAGATAGCAAGTGAAACYCTTGATTCACAAATGGTTTGGCTTATGACTTAAGATCTTAGCCTGGAATCCTGTCTATATTTCTAGAAGCCATAGTTGGAGACAGCTTAAGGTAAATGGAGACTGGGTTCGTGTTCCCTGATTTCTCTTGGATGTGCCTTCTAAAGGGATTTGTCCTTTCTCCTTCAACACTATCTGCGGTTACCCATCTCCTGTTTGACCCTGCATCCCTACAGGGGTGTAGGAGACTTGTATGGATGTAGGGAGACTGCAGGAAACAGTGGAGGCTTGTGATGAAGTGCTAGGCTCTTGGATCAACCCATTGCTGTTGAGAAGAGTTTTACAGTGAAAAATCACTACTGAACTTTAAAAATATTGGATATTTTGAAGACTGTGAAAGGCTTAGTTACTACTCTCTGTGGTCACTAATACAGACACAAGGTAAAATTCCACATAAAGGGAGTACTTATTTGTACTATGAGCTGGTGGTAATGCTGAAAAACATATGGGCCCCCCAAGGAGGTTAGGCTGCAGAAATGTCATGTTTTCCTGGGTGCTGAGGGAGAGATGTGTGTATTGTGAGGAAGCAGAGGGCTTGGCTTTAGTGGGTGCTGGAGGAAAAAGCACAGCCCAATAGTTTCATCTATTTGTGGTGTTCGGTGGGACTGTTTTCCCCTATCTCTAAGGTTTTGTTTTTAATTTAGTGGGCATTTCTGGCTTCTGCATATTTTATCTGTGTGTGTCAAATAGTGTTAGTGGCTATCAGGGGGAGGCTTGTATACCAAGTGTCTGGGTCTGTCTTGCAACTAGATGATTCAAGCCTGCAGCTCATTTCCAAACACAGAATCAGCAAATAACCGTTATGTCAGGTTGGGTTTCTGACCTATTGCAAGCAACTGATTGGAAATGGCAGTGTGACAGCTTGCTCCTGGAGCTGCTCCATTTTAGTGGAAAAGTGAGGCACAGTGAATTAGTCCTCTTACTTTGACAGTTCAGTGCTACCTCAGAAGCAAGAGGCCCGAGTAAAGAGAGGAGCATGAGGAGGTTTACGAAGCAGACTGAAAGGCCTGAGCTTGGTCTACAACAGCAACCTTGGAGACCCAGCTTGGGAACAGAGTTTGAGAGCTTTCTTTTTCACTTGTTCCCAAAGTAAGAACTTGGAAATTGCTCCAGTTCAGTGTTATGTTGAGTGCACGGCCTGTGACTTAATGTGGTTGCTAAAATTGCCCGTTCATCCGGGAAGCAGGAAGATTGTGTATCATAATGTGCCTGTTCAGAAGGGTCTTTTGACTTCAGGTGTCCTTTCTGCTTCACAAAGTACTTTGAAGCTATTTAGGATAAAAATAGGAGACTATTGCTTCAAATTGTTAACAGATTCTGTTTCTGTCCTTGTCTATACATGTGCTGCCATTGATTTGAATGGGTCAGAGATGGGCCACTATTTTCAGCATAGGTGATTCCCCTTACCTTGAACTATAGTAAACCACGTTTTACGAAGTATGGCAATACCCTATATATTTCTGACCACAGACTCGTTATTCACTGCCTTTGTATGTGGAAAATACGTTTTTCACATACATTTTCTACGTTAAATTTATTTCTCTTAGGCAGAGCTAGATTGCCAAGTCTCTGCCTTTCATGCAAATGAAGAGAAACACAAATTACCAGCATGATAAAGGAAACTGCACCTCAAGAGCAAAATGTTGTGATTGTGCTCTTCTTTCATCGCTGAGGCCTGTAATGTCATACAGTGATTCGGTTCATTGCAATTTTCTGTAGTACTTGGGAACAAGCATCACCCATTTTGTCCCCGGCTGCCTGATGATGTGGCAGATTGCATATGAAATGCAAAAATCATATCTGGCTTGACAAGGTGATTCATTTCAAGGAAAACTAGCTAAGAACTAATTCTTGGAATTCTTTCCTTGGAAAATGACAAGAAGGATGGCTGGGCCTTTATAATAGTCCTTATGTGAGGTTATCATTAAACCAAAGACCGTGAACATCAGTGTGCATTTTACTGTCATTACTGCCTGTTAGCATTATGTGTCTGACAAGTGCCTTTTCTGCAAAACTGGCACAGATTGGACAAGCAAGAAGCGGTCAGGCAGATAACAGCTCTGTACCATAAGCAATATGAAAAGACAATGTGGTCTAAACTCTGCAAATCCCATTTCTCCCTTGCTAGGTGCTAGTTACCTCTGGAGAAATCCATAAACCCCATGCCCAGATCTGTTCCCCAGCTCTGCCCTCACTCTGCAGCACTCCTCGGAACGAGCTGTTCTTCATCACAGTGACCTTTGCTGAAGGGCCTTCTCCTTCACGTGAGCTACACCTTGTTCACATACTTTGCCCCTGCTGATTTTCTGTCCTTTTAATATTCTTTGCAGCAGGTTCAAGTGGAGGCTCATCAACGGCGACTCCAACGCTGCCGTCGTTGTCTCCAACAAGCGATGCCAATGCTACCATTCAATGTAAGTGCCTTTCTGCGGGAGACTGCTTTAAGTACTGAYGTGATCATCACTGACACTGACTGATGCCATACCCAGGCAAGTTTTAAGGGTCGGCTCCATACTTAAGCTATCGCTGCCCAGCAAGCTCTTGTGTGCCAGTAGTCCTCCCTATGCATTCCTAGCACACAGGAAAAGCCAAGTCAATGTACCCACAAGTATTAACCAAGTTCAGCTGACAGACGTTGGCTTGTTAAGTTATGATGACTTGACCATGTTCTTGGGCCCCTGGAAGTGTTGGGTTGCCCAAAGAGCCCCGGTGACTATGGGAATGGAAAACACAACTGTGGCCAACCTGAGGGGTGATAAGATGGGAAGGGGTACAAATAATCTCCTGTGCAAGGTACAGGATGCATCTCCTGTATGTTCTCTTACTACAGTTAGCTTCTATAATGTGGACATGAACTTTTCTCTCTTCTACGGAACCGACAGAACTGCAGATTACTATGATGCAAGGAGGCTTGTTAAAAGCTGGGTGAGTTTCTTTTCTCATCTGTATTTATTTCTGAAAAGTATCAGATGATGAGGACAGCTGGTATAAAATGCAGGCTTACAGGACAACACAGAAATAGGGGATCAGGTAATAATACCATGGTATTTCATAGTTATGCTATCCAGCACATTTTTACCAAGATGATATTAAGTTTATAAGGAAGGAGAAAGTGTAGACTTCTACAAATATTTCTAGCCTTTTTCATTGGGATTTAGAATTTTGGTGAGAATTTCAGATTTACAAGCAGCTTTTGTTAACATTTTTACTGACTTGGTGTGTTAATATGTTACTGTTTTCTTTCCAGTTTACCATCATATTTTCAGGAGATGAATTTGTTGTGACAGACTTTAAAGTCAGGTAAACCTCTGGCTGTATTATGCTATTACCTGAACACAAAAATTGCAGTCAGGTTCCGTACCCTCATTTTGCAAATGATCAGTCCAGTGGCTATAGTGCAAGCCAAACCCCCAGGTCTATACAAATGTGATAATCTGGAGCATCTCTTGAGTTCATTTCGCTTGAAAATCTGTAACCAGGCTAATAAAAGGCAAATACCTGCTGCCAAACTGTGAGCTCATCTCTGCTCCTAGAATTTAGTTTATGCAGAAAAGTTCAGGTTGATGAAGATAACCTTTTATCTTTTTCTTTTTTTTTACTATTTACTAGATATTTTTACTTCCTACTCTCTTCTCTGACTTCCCTAGTAACTGCTTGCTTTACCAATGACAACAGTGCCATAAAATATTGTGCTATTTACCAGAAGTGAATCAGATTTTGAAAACTTAGAGGAGGACTAGAGTGGGGAATAAAAATCAGCTAAAAATGGATTTGCTCCCGCATCTTCAGCTGCTATATAGAAATTGTAATGATTAAACATATCCAAAAAGTTAACAGATGAAACATTTTGGTTTAAAGTGTGAGGAAGTGTAGCTCACCTGAAGAAAGGAAGCATCATGTAGACAATTCATACACTCATGCAGTCTTTAATTTGGAATGATTAGTCTCTTAATCTAAGCTGTTGTATGGAGATGGAGTGTGCTTAGAATATGCTTTCAAAGCTACTTGGCATCCATCCTGACTGCTGGACTTTGCCAGAGATACCGTGGTCCCGTAGCAAGGGGAGGGAGATGGGGGTTGTAACCCCACTGTCACGGATCCACAAATCTGTTACAGCAGATGTTCTTGGAGATTTATGTAAATATTTACATGCTGAATTCAAGACGACATTTCTGTTGCAAGGTCTGCCCTCTTATGGTCTATTCTGTTTTTCTTGCAGGGGTAAYTCTCCGCCAAGGACTAGCCGTAAGAGGGCTCGTGTATGTAATTTATTATTTTCTGATTTTAAAACATACCTTTTTTTCATATCTTTGTGTAGAGGGTGTAGTAGCTGCATGCTGCAAGGATAGGAACTCTGAGATGGTGCAGTTTTGAGTCATTTTATGATCAAGGAATGAAACAAAGTTTGTGTATAGCCAAAGGGACTGGCTGGGCTGGTAGTTTGTAGAGAAAGGCTTGTCCTCATACTTTGGATCCATTTATAAGTTAATTTGGTGTCTGGAGAGAGCCCTTTGGATATCCTGCACCTGGCTTGTGTTTTTCATTTGAAAGCAAGGGCTCTGTGGCTCTGGGTCCCTACAGAGGAGTTGTTGGGGAAGAGCTGGAAAAAAACAGGTCTGTAATCATGTTCTGCAGATCCATTGCTTGGAGGCACAGGCAGAAGACCAGAGAATGGAGCAGCTCAGCTGCTCTGTGCCAAAGACCAGGGCTGGCAGAGGCCCCTCAGCTCCAAGTGCTTCACAAAGCTTTGCAAGCTACTGTTTTTTTTCAATTTGGCACCTAAATTGGAAAGTCCATACCCACACAAGGAAAGATGTCCCTCCACGCAACAGTCCCTTGGTTGACCTTTGATCTCTGTCAGATTGAACAATGATATTCTAAGGTAGTGGTGGGAGGGTTTCTCCTTAAAATAGAAAAACAAAATCCCTTTTTCATTAGATGTGCCATATTCTACCTGACTGAAAAGTGATTATTTGTAAGACACTTAAGTAAAGAAAACAAGAGCAAAGAGATCTGCAAAACTGCTGCAGCAAAATACTGCTTGTACTTGGTATTTTTTGGTTAGAGCATTCAGGTATGTGGGAGATTGGAGTTTAGTTCTTCTCTCCACCTAGATGTACTTCCATCCCTTGACTTGCTCCATGCCATGAYGTGGGCTAAATGCTGATGTTGATTTGCTCTGTAGAAGTTACTAAATATTGATTTTTCAGTCTAGCCTCATGCAAGTAACTGGGCTGGGGAGTCACTGTGGCTCAAAAGATACTGAAATGATCCATGTAGGATGGAGCAATGTCGCATGTGCCAGGCATGATTCCCAAGAAGTCCATTTGGGAAGAGCATGTTGGTGAACATGCTCACTGAGCAATGTTAGCTCTATTCTGCTCTCTATGTGACTCAGCATCAATATACTGTTTTATCATGCCTTAATTTACCTCTGGAAGTATCATAAAACAGGTTACTCTAGGTAGTCAAGTCCTAATACCATTTAAAGCAATAAGCTGTATTTTGCTCAATAGCATATTGAGCTTCAATTGTTGCTTTCCTTAAAAGCCAGTTACCTTTGAGACATTTGATTCTAACCAGCTTCTAACTTTTTGTGTCCTGTTATGTGAACTGAAGATGAAGGAAAAGCTGCATTCACAAAGGTAGGAGCCACGGTCATGAACTGTTTTTTCTTGTGGTTCATACTGAATTCAGCAGAAAATCCCACTCCCTGCTAGCAGCCTTCTCRTAAAGCAGCTGAATAGGGATTATAGACATCCTTGATTGTTTCTGTTTTGGGGTAATTTGGGGGCCTTTAGCTGTTTAAAATAGAAAAGCATGTGTGGAGTCTGACTCGCAGAAATGCCTCACTTGACAAAACTTATTCGAATATTTGAGGTTTCCCATCTTTTGGGACCCRCAAAGTGCTTCCATGACCAGCCGTGAGGCTTTGTGCTGCGCTATAAGAGCTGGCTCTGAGGAATGCCCTTCACTGGGGCCAGAAGAGGAGACTGTGCTGCTGCTGGGCAGTGACCAAGAAGTCCATTAAGGACTTAAGAAGCCACTCAGAGATGCAGCCTTTCCAAACCTTCTTAAATCAAATATATCTGTCCAGGAGATTAGCTCTTTTGAGGAGAAAAAATCAGGAAGCCAGTGGAGACACTGAATGGCAGTTAGTTAAATGTCTGTTTTCGAGAGAGCCTGGAGCCTGTCACCTCTCTGAGGTACTCCAAGTACCTCCTCATTTTATGAATAGCTCACTCCAAAATTCAAAATACGGTTGAAAAAAAGGCTTGCTTGGGATAAAGGTATTCTTCTGCCAAGACTACATGATGAGGAAACCTTTTGAAGCATTTACCATGAAACTGCAAAGAGATTCTTGTACCTGTATACCCAGAAAATTGTACTTCATTAAGCATTTCCAGTAGTAAGGTGTTAGTGCATGTAAAAAGCAACATTTGCCATGGGATCATGCTTATGGTGAAAAAATACATACTTAAATTATGCCTTAATTCTGTAGTCATTCAAAGTATTACTTATACTGTGACTTTGTGTGTGTATTATACYTGTAGCTATGCCTGTAAGGCCATTCTGAAGGCCACATCACTTGAAACACAAGAACAGCAGAGTCTGAAGATAAAACAGCTGCTGAATGGCACTTATGAAGAAGGACTGTTATCATTACATGTGAAATCTGAAAATGTGGCTGTCAAGCCAATAGGTAATACTTGCTTAAAATATCATTGGAAATTAAATGCTTTGTGACTCTGGCTGCTATTATTTTATCAAATTTAAACTGTGGAGAGATAAGGACTTGAAAACATCCCTAGGTCTAGACTGATCTTAGCTGGTGTACAAGCTATGAAATGTCATGCAAGGTGTCCAGAACTTGAGTTCTAGGCAAAGGGCAGTGGCTTAAATTTGAATCTAGTACGGAGACAGGTCTGAGCATGTTTGCAATGCTTGGAGGTCAGGCTGATGCAGCTGCAAGTCCATGAGCCCACTATCCCAGATCGTGGTTTTTGAGAGAGCCCTTAGTCACCAAACACTCCTGCCAAAACCATGGCAGGTAGTTTTTTTTTTTTTTTTTAACTGAATCAAGCCTCAGATTGCAAATGATTTCCTCGTTGGTTTGGATACCATCCTTATCCCTCCTTAAAATACAARTGTAAAGCTAGAGATAAGAGAAGACAGACCTGAAATTCAAAAGCACTCCTCATGCCATAGACTTGGAGAAGATCAGCTCCAGAGAACAAACTTCCAAGCCTGGGGGAAAAGACACTGGCTGGATAATGAAGGGCAGTCTGAGAGGATGTTCAGATAGATTAGAGAAGCTAACCAGATCTGCAGTCATTAAGCATAGTTTGTGTTGCTGCAAAAACAGCATTCTTCCTGAAAGCTGGCCTCATGAAACAAATGGTAAACAGGTCTTAGAATAGCAGGCAAAGTAGTTAGGCAAAATATTTTCTTCCAGACAGTAAATTTTTGAGATAGGAGTATCTAGCCTGCAAAAGAGGTACAGATTACAGCTCAGACTCAGCTGGAAGAGATATTCAGAACATAGCCAGCTCCCTGATTTCAGCAAAGTCTCCATTCTGCCTATTAAATCTTTTAAAACTTTTATGTTTTATGTGTTGTGTATCTTGTCCTCAGCTCTGACAGACTGCCCAGAAAGCTTCTCACAAACGGTATACAAGGGGAATTATTCCTGGCCACTGACAAATCCAGCTTCCAAAGCTGAGGTCAGCTGCAGCAAAAACCCTCTGCAATCTGCTATAAGGAGCTGGTGAGTTAAGAGATCGTCTCCTTTTGGTCTCCACATGGACTGCAGCAAAAGCAAAAATTGCATCATTTCCATCACCTGCAACAGTGCAAGACAAGTTGTTTAGGAAACTGGTTTCCTGCTCAGGAAGAGAGGGGAAGCAAATACACTGTAGTATCTGCTATGTCAGATCTGACTTGAAAATCAATTTTCAAAATTGGGCTAATTGATTTTTTTTTTTTTACCTATTTACATAGGAAATACAGGGAACGAAAACTATAGGGTTTTTTTTAACACAGGTATTCTAGGTATTTAGATATTTTAATGTAAAAAAGTACCTATGTTTTTACTTTTTCAGTGCAATTGATATAGAGCTTGAACAAGCTTTTTGGAAAAAGCCAAACCTGACTGAATGTAAATTACTGGAAGAACTTCCAAATAATATTTTAGATCTTCAGGATGTCATCATAACAGATGGTAAGGTACCAGAGACTTCAGTAATACAGTGAATGCGAATCAAATAAAAAATAGTTATGCTCAGATAATGTGCATGTGCATCCTACTCACTTGGTCATCTGAAATGTTTTCAATAGAAGTGAATTTTACAATTCGGAATTCTCTAACATTTTGAAAAGTTAGTATTTTAAATCCTACACTCAGATTTAAAACTAAATGAATAACTGATGAATAATGTGACATTTTTTTTGCCTGTGGTTTCTGTTACCAAATCAAATAATTCTTGGTCTGTAGATCTTGTACAAAGAAGCATAAATTAGWGTATGTAATTTAAAAGTTCATGCTGTGATTCATGCAACTACTAAGCTGTCAATTATTACCTGACTATATCTTTTTTAAACTATGCTAGTTGCTTGAATGGTAAATAAAATCCATATCGCTCTTGATCTACCTGCTCAGCAATGGCATTAGTATTATATATGATTAAATGCTATCTGCATTCACATATAGTTTCTTTGACTCTCAATGTGTAAAACTGGTTGTATGAAAAATTTATAGAAGGATCTTGAGATGATGAATGSAAAATACCAAATTTTCAAAATATGAGTATTTGTAAGTTGCTCTTGCTGACATACCATTTAAATGGCATTTGGGAGGGAGTAAAAAGGACTTGTGTAATTTTGAACACTGAAATATTCATACACTGAAAATGCCTCTGAAAATGATCAAAGCTGAAACTGCATAAGGATTCACAATCTTTATTAGGCAGATGTTAAGTCTTATAGAAGCTATATCATTTTCTTCCTCTAAAATACAAAGATATCAATTTTGTTTTGAGCTTTTTCAGTTTTCATTGACTTATTGAGGGCTTGCTTACTGATTTCCACCACCACCCCCCCAAGTAATTTTGTAATAGATAAATAGCATTACAACCTCRTGGAAAGAGAAGCAAACTCCAACTCACTACTCTAACAGAGAACTGTAGCTGTATAGCTAGACATGTAGCTATGTCATATAAGTCATGKTTTTTTTGTGTGTTTTTCAGAGAATGCAGAAGATGTTGTACAGCATATTTTATATCTTTTGCCAACTGCAAAACTGGATGTGGAAGAAATAGAAATCATTGAGAATAAAATTTCTGATATAGCAAGTATCGCAGATATAAGTGTGACACTAGCAGAGTCTATGCTGAGCGTATTCAACTATATTTTGCTGCAAGAAATAGATGATAATCAGAGCTTTAGAAAAATGACTAATAGGTAAGTGCAGAAGTGGCTTCCTCACCTAAAATGGAGTAATTAATGCCTTGTGGCTGTTAACACAGGGATTGGAAAAAATAGTGATTTCCCTACTTGTGTATTGAATTTTTATGTTCTTAGGGATAGAAATTGGTTACTGTGTTGTCAAAAGTGTGTTCTAGGCACATATACACCTGTTTCGGATGCTATACCTGTGCTAATAATGTTTTTTCAAAAATAGATCATCTCCAACATTACCTTCCAAAGTCCAACACTAGACTTCATCGTCTGCATTTAGGATACTACGGTCATTATGTATTTCTCATACTTACTAAAATCAAGGTTGCTGGGTACCTTTTTAAAAAAAAAAAAAAAAAAAAAAAAAAAAAAACTTTCTCATCTGAGACCTTGAAGGTTCAGCTACCTGCTTTTGAGAAGTCTGGCTTCTGTCTGAAAGGAGAGCAGTGCTCAGAACTAGCATCAACCTTTACATGTACATGGAGTTCACCCATTTCTAATTTGGGCAAGGCAGCTTACCCACTTCTCGCTGCACAGCTTTAAACTCCAAATAGAGGAGATTACCCTCCTTTGCACTGACCAACTCAAMACTTTCCCAGGATTAGAGATGCTGTGTTAATCATTCAAATTTTTTAGCATCTGCTCTAATTTTAACAAGTGCTTATGTGCAGTTTGCTCAGTTTTAGTTAACATAGAAGAATATTTTAATAAAAACATTAAAAGAAAAAAAAAAAGAAGTTTCCCCTCAGATGTATGATTGAATATGCACCATCCAGCTATTTSCACTGGGCAAGTTTTGCATGAGGTTTTCAAAACCTGGGGGCCTGCAAGGAAGAGAAGTCAAAAATAGCTAATAAAATCTGCTTGAGAAAAAGCACTGAGTAGGATCTTGCTCCTTTGGGCTATATTTTCTCTCTTCAAAGTCTACCGCATTGCAGTTTGTGGAGTGGGGGCTGTGAAGGCTGCCAGCACCAAACACCTCTGCCTTCCTAAATAGACAAGGGCTGTCTTTTATTTTCTTTAAGTGAAATACCGATTTGGGATGAGGCTGATGCTCCAGGRCAAATACAGGCTTTGGATTCCTGATTCTTAATGGAGATGCAGTTGCTACCTACAAATTGTAATAAAGTGACTTCAAAAATGTTCTCAACAGGAGAATGAATCATGAGCATTTAAATTTTTTTCACAAACCAGATTTCATTTAAAAAAAAAAAAGCAAGAGCATGAGCAAGTACCACGATGGTGCCTAACACATTAGCATCACATTAGCATGAGAATGCCTAAGAGTATCTGTAATCCCTCTTCTCTCAGGCCTCAGTAGAAATTTTAGCTTTTCCAATGATTTGGGAAAGTTGAACATGAAATTTTGTGGCTTTGGGGCAAGCGTGGCTGATAGGAGCCTGAGGGCATCCCTGACCATCTGGGTCTGGCAACACGRGAAGCTGCCACCACCATGAGTTAAGATGAGACCAAAGAAGAGCATGAAGGATTTCCTTTAGGCTTGTCAGGACCAGCTGTCTAGTACACATTTTCTTTCCACACGGTATTTTCCCTTCTTGCATAGCACTGAATAGACTTGAGGGCTGCCAAACAAGACGCAAATCTGACTCTTAATACCCATGAGGATTAAACCGCCCTAACTTGGTGGATTCTGCCTCTACTCATCGAAAGAAAAAAAATACTGAGAAGTGTCCAGAAAGGCTGTAGAATCTCTGTCCTTGGAAATTTTCAGAAATTGATGGGACAGAGACCTAAGCGAACTTTAAAGAGTGCCCCCTGGATCAGATGTTTCCGAATAATCAAATTAGTATAGCAAGTTGCTTCCTTTCAGAAGGAAGCTGGTGTTTATATGTGAATATTAACTCAAATGATCCTGTATTAGGCCAGAAAATTTTAGTTGCTTATCTACTGATTGTACGTTATGAAGCTAGGAGAATATTTCAAGAGACTTATCTTTTTTTTTTTTTTTTTTCCCCTTTATTTTTTTCTCTCTTGCTCTTACTCTTGGTAAAGTATCCTAAAGACAACTGAAGAGATTGGCTATAAGGTGACTTACACAGAAAGAAATGCGTCGGTCGTAACCAGTTCCCTGGCTTTGGTGGTGATGCGTCCAGATCCCAGCGTGTTTGAAGGACTGGCCTTTGGGGTCACCTTATATGAGAGGGGCCTGAATCTCAAGGTGAGAGCAAATGTGGTACCTTGGCTATCACTAAGACAGCGAGTGTCTGCTGCAGCTGTGTATTTAATCTGAGAAATACTTAACCTGAGCTTGTGATCTTTCCTACAGGTCAATATTCAAGAAAGTCCTTTCACAACAGCCTTGGCCTCTGTGTTTTTGCCAAAATCACTGAAAAAATACTTAGGGATGGAGAACTCTGACCCAGAAAGGCATTCAAAGATCCAGTTYAATTTTTTTGGCACTACTTCACTGTTTGTGGTAACTATGATTCTTATCAAATACTAGGATAATAGCGATTGGGTCAGTTGTTCTTAGTGTGTACAGAAGAAAGATCTCAATAGCATCATCTATTCTGGACGCATTTAATATCAGAATGATGGAGCACGAAGAAGACTGTGGGGAAACTACTCAAGCAGCAAAACCTTCTCTGTAGTAGTGATAATTTGAGAGGTGTCTGTAGATCTATGACCTGTTTTCCTTTTCTGTAGTTGATGGTATTTCACTACTTCTCTAGGAAAAGAGCACACTCTAATCTTCCCCTGTTACATGTTTCTGAAGCAGGAGCTTATTTTACATGTTAAGTATCAGGAAACAAATTGCAAGACCAATGCATTAAAATGATAGTAACACTGATAAAAGGCATTTAGGTCTATTCTAGGATTTGCTAGGGCCTCTTATTCTTGTGTGGATTAACATAATTTAAAAAGGGAGACATTTCTTCTTTATGGTAGGGGGAACATATAGTATGTTGAGCAATGTTTTTTCACACAATTCTTGATTGCATCTCCTGTCCTGTGAGCTGAATGATATACAGCTGCATGTCTGATGTATTGGAATGGTTCTACAGATTCCACTAGCTGAGACACCTGTGAGTTCTGCTTTAGCTAATATGAAGACTCTCCCTGAATTTACTGTTAACTAGACTTTCTTATGAAGTAGTAAATAGCTGAATAACATAAGACATCCCATGRTATTTAGCTGATTGCCATTTCTGAGAAATACAATTTCAGAAATGAAACAACAAAGGGCTCAATTACCAGTAACTTAAATGTCTTGGAATCTCTTGTATGTGTGTATTTTTCTATTACAGGATGATAGTTTAAAGACTAAGAAGTTGAACACTTACGTTGTGAGTGCCAGTATTGAAAATGCATCCATTGAGAACCTCAATGAGCCTGTCAATATTATTCTTCATCACATAGACCAAAATACGGTAGGATATATTAATTTAATCATGGACTTTTTGAAATRTAAGTTATTTCACTTATCTGTCCCGTTGCCAGTTTATTTTAAGGCTAAGTTTAAGACATCTTGCTGACTGACCTCTCCAACATATAGCAACCAAAAGATTGACAGGCTGCACAGATCTCTGCAGTATGTTTAATTCCTGCAAGTTAGTAAAGTTTGTGTCCCCACTCTGAAGCCATGCTTAGTAGCAATAAACATCTTAACTGTTTCCTTGTTTGATCTGGGTAGTTTTTTCTAGGGATAGAAAAATAAAGATACAGGAATACAGTTCCTCAAATGCAGGAATCAATCAAAGTTAAAACTGTCAGGTTTTCTGCATTAACAGGTAATAAATGAATTACAGAAATACTGGTAAAAACAGAAAAATCACTAGCCCTCAGGATATCTCTTAGGAAAGCRAAAATTGGGACCCTCTGCAACTGGTGCAGAGGCCAGACTCCCCTCGCTCCTCAGTGGGCTTTTCTCAAGCAATGCAGAAGAAGTCAAATCAACGGCCTTAGTTACAGATCGCAGTTAGATTTGAGGTGCAGATAGTGTAGAGCTATGCTGAATAAATGTTGTCTCCTTTTTCCTCTGCTTTCAGAATAACAGAACAGTGCACTGTGTCTTTTGGGACTTTCTGAAGAACGGTAAGTGTTATTTACTTGCTCTGTCCTCAGCTTCGCAGAGGCTTTGGCTCCTCAACATACAGTTTTAAACTTTGACTCTCTCATACTTAGACCATGCTGTTCTGCCTTGCTTATTTTGGTTGATATCCATACTCAGCAATCAGTATTTTTACTAGGAGGTGCTTGTCTGGCTTTATGTATGATGGTGCATCAACATGGATGTGGAAGAGTCATTTTCCAAGACAAAAAGTAGAAATGCTTGTCCTATGCCCTGTGAACATTTCTTGTCCTCTGTGCTGTCACATCCTGACAGTAACCCAGTCAAGCATGCATCTGCTCACCCTCTTGTCTTCTGTGTGCAGGCATGTAAACTACTTTAAATATTTCTTTATTCCCCCAAGTGTTTTATCCAAGTTTTGAGGTTCTCAGGCAACCAAGAAAGATGTGCTCCTATGTGAAATCTCACTTGTCTGCTGCTAAATGACCCTGCAATCTGTACTAACTTGAGCTCGTATTCACACTTTCTGCATGCTGCAGAACTATAAATGACTGAGCATGACTAACTCTGCTTAAAAATCCCTTTTTCTGTATTATACAGATGGACTGGGTGGTTGGAATACATCAGGGTGTGAAATGGAATATACAGATATGAATTACACAATCTGTTTTTGTAACCATCTTACCCATTTTGGAGTCTTACTGGTAAGTACTCCATGAATCATCTCCAAAAAAGTCCCTTGGCACTAGACAAAATCATCACTAGTTTTGGGGAGAGATGGGAGATTCATATCTATGCTGTTAGATATCCATGATTTTGTTAAAAACAGTAACAACAAACAAAGCAGTTATGATAATTTTAAAAGTATAAAGTCCTCTAAATGTCACTGACTTTAATGCAAATCTATTTTGCAGATAAAGTTTGTACCTCTTTGCAGTACAGCCTAATCAACACTAATGTGTTCTTTGCTCTAGTGGAAATACTGGGATATATTTAATTACCTGCCAATAACAAGTACTGCTATTACACCTCGCTGAAACATTCCACTCCATCATTCCAGCATCCAACATTCTGTTCCAACATTCCATCAGGAGTTTATATTAAGATGTTTATGTTCTACATCCATGGAGGATTGAAAGAAAAACAGCAACTCTTTTAATACACTGAAATCTGACTCTAAAACTTTAGGTCAAAAAAAAGAGAGCGCAGAAGCAACTGCTTGGGAATGGGTTGCAACAAAAGCAAGGAGATGGGTAATTGCAAAGTAAACTGAGGAGCAGATAACTGAAAATCCCACAGTGAATTTGGGGGATAAGGCAGTCCCTTTGCCCAGCTTCCCCTAGAGGTCAGCATTACTCTGCTCGAAGTGAGGTGGAATTTTCTTTGTCTSTTATGGCTGAAATTGGGATTTTGTTTGTTTTGTAACCTAGGACTTGTCCCGGACAGAGATAGATACCACGAATGATTATATATTGACTCTGATAAGCTATGCAGGATGTGGTGTTTCTTCCCTTTTTTTGGGTATCACACTGGTGATCTATCTAGTCCTCGAGTAAGTCTTCCTTGTGTTGTTTTTAATGCTTTAGTGGAAAGGAATTTGCATTACCTAGCAGAATGTTCAGTAATGCTTGATGCTGTGATGCATAAGAAGCAGTAGTGAGATGTGAAAATAAAAATGTTTTATTTTTACCTATGACTACAGTGAAAGTTCAGATCCTCACGCTTTAAGACATGTACAGGTCAGAAGACTTTGGCAATTTCTTTGTTCCTAAATTGCTGGCATTTCATTAACTTGCATGTGGATGAGGGTAAGATATCATGCCAGGAGTCTGCAATATGCCCTGTATATAGATTGTAGGTAGGATGATATTTCTTGGGTTAGAGAATGTACCCATTATAACTGTTGCTTTATTTATTTTTAGAAAGCTGCGGAGAGACAACCCTTCCAAGATTCTGCTAAATCTTTGTGCCGCGTTGCTGATGGTGAACTTGGTCTTCCTGGTCAACTCGTGGCTGTCTTCCTTCAACCAGCCCGGTCTCTGCATCGCGGTGGCCGTGCTCCTGCACTACTTCCTCCTGGCAGCCTTCACATGGATGTGCCTGGAGTCTGTCCACATGTACTTGGCTCTTGTGAAAGTTTTCAATGTCTACATCCCGAAGTATATTCTGAAATTCTGCATTGCTGGATGGGGTAAGGAAGCAAGTTTTCTTCTTTACTTCCATGCTCATCATCATCTCTAAAAGTGGGTTTAAGGCAGTTTTCCCTATCTGTCCTGTGCTTCACTTTATGGTTGCACATAACTTTTCAGGTGCAGCCACCTGCAATGGCACTGTTGGTGACGGTCATTTTAAGCAGGAAAGCCAGAACTTAAAGATATATGGCAAACAGGCAGTGAGTGGAAGGGAGACAAATCAAACACTGGCTGGAAAATGTCTGTCTCTATCAGATCTTAATAGAAAAAGCTGCAATCTGCTTTTTCTGCAAATCTTTTGCTACCCTGCTTTTCCTAAAAAATCAGTTGGGTTTATTTTACCAGATTGGAGCCCTTCTGGAGATGTTTGAATACTAAGAGACATTTTGCAAACACAGATATTTTCATGCCTACTCATCTGTAATTTACATAAATAAGGAAATTAATCCTGCTATGCCACACATTTAATTACGCTCATTTCAGAAGAAGCTTTAAGGGCAGAGTTTGATCTCCAGATGTATATGACTACTGTAATTATTTATCTGACATTTGACAGCATTTCATATTCTCATTTTATCTTTTTAATCTAAATCTCTCTCTCCCCCTTTATGTGTTAGGAATACCAGCTATTGTAATTACTGTTGTACTCATTATAAATAAAGACTTCTATGGCAATGGATCACTTTCTAAGAACAAACCATTCAGCTCTTTGTAAGTATAATATTTTAAGATGGTCAGCATAGTGTCTTAAAGATGGAAAAAAATAACTAGAATTAATAACTTCTATCTTGCTTTTCTCTTTTTTTTYCCCTCTATATTAACCCTCTACTTTCAGTGCTTCCATTTTCCTTTCTGGAAAATGAATCTTGCTTTACATGACGTTAACTCAATGCAATACAACATTTGTAAATACACCTGCATGTTCTAAATTTCCAGTAGAATATGAAGGCAGAATAATTTTTCTAGTATTTTGCACACTTTCACTTGTTTTTAACCTCAATTCATACCACTGTGTCTCTTTAATCATTTAGAAGCTTCGCATCATCTTAAATTCTTCATTTTAATCATCTCAACCTTCTCTCTTTTCCAGTGGGAAAACACTGAGTTCTTTCGTTCTTTCCTTAAAGCACTTCATTTCTTAGAATGTTTCCATTTACTTTTTTTCCTCCTGCTCTTTAGCACAATATTTGCATTCTATATTTTGTCCATCAGATGGGCAAAACACATAGTCATGGCACCCCAGAGGGAAAATAGTTATTCCTCTCTAGCAAAAAGGCAGCAAACCTCGCTAATTACTGTCTGAGTAAAAAATTAACCAGTGCCTGTGTTTGTGCTCTATTATTAGTTAGGCTCTTAATTAGGTCATATTTAACTTGGTTTTCCTAAGGCAGTGTGTCTTTGTGTGCATGTGTATATTATTAATTTGGGAAACAATGACCGTTTTCATCTGAATTCAGCAGAAACATTTAAATCTTGAGATATTACATTTCTATAACATATATGAAAAGGCAGCCAAGTGAAGAGATTCTGAATGTCCTAACCAGGGGGAAGTAAAGGGCCTAAAGGAACTGGCCCTTATTAGGTATCCCTGGACCATATACAAGAGTTATTTTGGCAATTAGGCTTCACTGGTTTTGATGCTCACAGAGTCACTTATTAAATGTGAACTTCCCTTTCTTGCAGTTGTTGGATTCAAGAGAATATAGTGTTTTACATCTCCGTTGTGGCCTACTTCCTCTTAATGTTTTTGACGAATACAGTCATGTTCATCACTGTTCTTCGCCAAATCAACTCCATGAAATCTAAAGCACAAAACAGATCCAGATTCGGGAAACGGGCTTTTCTTCATGACCTCAAAAGTGCTTTCAGCTTGATGTTCCTTCTGGGATTAACTTGGGGCTTTGTGTTTTTTGCCTGGGGAGCAGTGAGGATATTTTTCTTGTACCTCTTCAGTATTTTCAATACCTTGCAAGGTAATTTCTAGATGGAATACTGCTATAAATGCAAGTCTAGGACTGTGGACCAGAAATATATTTGTAATGCCATGTAATTAAGGACTGGGGAAAAGAAGAGCTCATATATATGCTTTTGCATTTGCATACGCCTTTGAAACATGGGATAATCCTTTTCATTTGAGCATAAAAATGCTTGTTGAGAATCTGCAGTTACTTGCAGATTATTCTTAAACAAAACCTGGGAGTTAAAAAAAAAAAAAAAAAAGCTTTTTTCATTACCTTTTCATATGCACAAAAGACCCTCAGTGCAATTCTGGGCTAACATGATACTGGCTAAGGAGCACCTCTGTGCCCCTATATAACATATGGATGACTGAGCGGCCTACAAGGAGCTGAGAAAAGGGGCAACAGTTTGGAGCATCAATCTCAGAACGTTTAAATTTCTCTTATTTCTTTAGGGTTCTTTGTCTTTGTGTTTCACTGTCTAATGAAGGAAGATGTAGTGAAGCAGTGCCGATTACACTTCTGCTRCGGGAGATTTCGTCTGAATAATTATTCTGGTAAGCATGGCATGTTCAGCTTTACTCACATGTACTTCTCATAGCAATCCTCTTTCCATCAGTCCTCTGTGCACTGCTGAGAAATACAGTTTTCCATTTGTACTGGGAGAATTCAGCAAGGGTGCTCCAAGGTTTATTCTTCCTTGAGCATCTGCTGGATCTATGCCATATGATGCAAAAAGGGAATGCCATGGATTTCTCTTCCTTTTGTGCCTCCTGTCTTAGTGTGGTATTGCAGAAAGCAATATTGCTGGACTAGGTCCCAAAGGAGAAAGGGAGCACTGAACTGCTGGTAATTCTGTCCACCAATGCAAGTGTTATGGAGTTAGTGTGAAAATGAGGAGCAGAAATTGTGCACAACATACATGYGGAGTGGGTGATACGTTGTACACAGCCCCACTGCTTCAGGGCAGCTGCAATGATGGTACAAGAAGCAAACACAAAACTTTTTCCTCCATGGTCTTTACTAGTTGGGGATGTGATTCTTTTCTTTTTCTTTTCTTTTTTTCCTGACACACCAGGAAGAATTTCCTGTGCACAGCGCTGCTTCTAACCCTCCCGTTCTCTGATTTCAGACTGCAGTGCATCAGGTACAACAGTTAGGTCGACACCAAGGCATTTACATGACAGGTCACCATCCCAGCCTTTGAAGTATCTAAATTCTAATGGAACAAGTTCAACGTCCAGTGGTTCCGATTTCCTCCCTGGGACTTCTCTGGATACGAATTTTAGAATTGGTAAGAAAACCAGTATGGACTGGATTGAGTAAAATGCAATAGGTTCCATATGGTGGCTGTCAAATTCCAAACAGCAGAAAGAAGTAAGAAACTTTTCACTGCTTTTTCCATGCCAGGCTTCAGCTGGAGCCTAATGTCCATGTTACAGCTTTTGCTGAAGAAAAAACCTCCTTATGATACTAGTATGGCCTTTTCCAAAAGGAAGGGAAATCTCTGCTTAACTTTCATATTAGGCATCTGAGAGCTACTCCAGGATGCATCAGCTGCTGTCACTCTCACTGCACTGACTTCTAGCTGGGGAGCACTACGGTGCATCCTCTTTCCTGTGCTGCTGAAAGGGTAAAGATTTGGGGGAGYTACAGAAAATTGAATGGCACCAGCTATAAGCATATTTATTCCCAAATAATTCTAGTAGGAAATCTTGCTTGCCAAGATGGCAAAACTGTTGCAAACCCATAATCTGAATATGGATGTCTTTGTGGGAATTCCCAAAACATCCAACGTTACTAGCTGTTTTAAGAAACATTTTTGTTGGTTTTCCAAGGAAGTTAAAGCATAGCTGTATTCACTGAGATGGTCTGAGATGTGCATAAACAGGTTTCTGTCCAAATAAGTACAACAATTATAGTCACTGAAAACTTTCCCTAATTGTTTTCCTTAGCCCGTGTTCATTACAATCCGAATCCTGTAACTTCAGCAGATGATGAGGCCAAACACCCTCGTTCACGAAGAATATTACCCATGGATACAGAGCTGCACTATCCACAGAAAGCAAGTTTTTTCCATTGATATCAAATTTGTTTTCTTCTGAATATCTAAGGGTGGTTCTCTTTTGTAGCACATAGAAACAAACATTCATCTAAATTACTTTTAATGTACAATTATCACTCTGCAGAGAATTTTGGCCCCTCAGCAGTACTTTGCTGTGAATACAGCACTAGGTAAACTCCATTTCATAAGCTCACAAATCTGCAGCACTATGGGATGGAACAGGACTGCTTGGCATGTACTGGCTGATGTCTTCAACCCCTTCTTCATTTTGCTGTGATCTGATCACAGCTCCCAGGCAATATCAGCAGGAGTCTTTTGATTAACAAGAGTGCAAGTTGGTAAGTTCTGTAGTTCTGAAGGATGGATTTTGATCCCAGTCAAAAGAAATGCACCTCCTGAGGAACGGGAGACCTAACTTTTCCCTGTTACTGAGGAGAGGCTTATTTTTTTTCTTTCTTTTTTTCCCCAAAATGTGTTTAAATCAGTACCTTTTCTACTCAACAAATCTTAATTTCAGTTTTGAATGCATTCCTTTGTATCTTTAAGTAAAGATATTTCATGATTGCTAATATAATAAAATACTAACTTGTACCAATGTCAGAGAAGTTAAAGATATATATATATATATATATATATAATGGAACATTGTTTTAGGGCTGGCTTGTGCAATAAAAGGTGCTCTCATTCTGTGAATGACTCCCACACAATAATTACTAGAAGGATGAACATTTCAATGTACTGTAGCTACAGCCAGCCTACTTGAAATTAAACAGATAGCCTTGAGGTCCTTGGTTTTATGGGAGAAATATCATAAAAATAGGTAAATGAGTTTCACCTAGTATGCACTGGTTTGTAAGTTGAAATTGCTTTTAATAAAGAAAAATTTTAGTACATAATATAGTTTGACATGTCAGATTCTTGACCCGTTGTCTTGTGCCCGTGCATATTTTCTGTCTCTGATTTGATGTCAATAAGTCTCTGTGGACTGACAGTCTCACCCAGCTTCTCTATGTGCTACTCTGGTTTGATCCTTGCTGCTCTCCTCTGTGCACCTGAGCCACAGGTATTACTGCAAAACTGTGCAAATGAGATTTGCATCAGACATTAGACAAGAATTTCTTTCTTAAGGTCAAATAATACTGGAATAAGTGGTCCAGGGAGCATATGAAAATGCCATCAAGGATGGTCTTGCCAGAAGTGATTTAGGTAGACTGGGTTTGAATTTTGCCTTTGGGCAACGGATGGACTGGAAGGCTCATTGAAGGTCCTTCCAATTTATTTTCTGAGACTTAAATTTAAAAGAAAATAACAGCCAAGTAGAATCAATTTGAGAGCAACACAAGACTGACCTAGTCCTCTGCATATTGTAACTGCTTCATTTTACTCCTGATAAAAGGTAAAATATACTTTGGTTTTCTAAAGTTGCTAAAAACCCTCATAACATGTTTAAATGATTAGGAAGAAAAAAGRTATGGAAAAAAGCTGGACAAGCACAAAGAAAGGTGCTGGAATATTTACAACTTGTCAGGCTGCTGAGAAATGATTGGAGATGCTGAAAGATCAGTCACTCTGTTTCCGCTCTTGGAGGTGTGACAGTGGGAAGAAGAGCAAGCTGTGTGGCATGTGGATATGTCAGTTCTCAATTTTTGCTATTGATTTTTTTTGTTTCCATTTCAAAAGCAGAATCTGGAAGTAAATTTTTAAAAAACCTGTCAAGTTGCTTATGCAAAATGCAAAGCCCTGTTTGTTCCAGGAAGGCCGTTAGCTCACTTCCACTGTCCATCATATGTCTAATGGCTTTTCCAGCTAAGCAGTGTATCATTTATTTTTCAACCATGGCATTGTTTAGGTTGTCAGCTGGAATGAAGATGTGTAATTTTCTTTGGGCTGAAATAATATCTCCTGTGCTGGCACCAGTACATTTGCTCTTCTCCAACAGATCTAGGCTGACATTCTGTCACAGAATTGTGTATTGATGTTTTTCACAGGCTGAGGACATTCACAAAGACAAATCTAATAAAAAATGGCTCTGCACTTGTGATTCACATCCCAACAATTTTAAGTGACAGGAATAGTTTCACTGTTCTGCTTTGAAACGACCTCAAGGCTTGCGGTGTTTTACCCCAATACAGTCAAATTCTCTTTACTGTGTATTTGGTTGAATCAGTTGACTTTTGTTTGCTCTCTGAGAAACAGCAGTCCAAAAGCTCCTGTTATTTCTAGGTCATTCACACTTATTTATTCCTTATTTATAGGAATACATATACCAGAAAACACTTGTTCTATTTTGAACAGGTGAAAGCAGAATTTCTGAAAGTGTGTGTGTGTATATATTTTATATATATAGATATAAAGACAACTACTTGATGTCAAATCTTGGTGGGCTGTTAACAACAGCTTAGACAATGCTTTTGGGCAAAGGAAGTAAAAGATAATAGTAAAATTGAATCGTTGCAGCAGCTGCTGTGAAGCAGAAAGACCCACCCATCCCCACTCCTGTCTTGTTGTTCAGACCAGCACAAAACTCTGCTACCCTCTATGCCAGGTAAGTCTGTGTCTGCAGATCCAAGGTCTGGGCAGCTCGTGGGCTTGGAGAGGTTCTGTTCATGGACAAAGAGCMTAGAGCTACATTCTTGCTCAACAGATTTACAGCCCTTTAATAACCATGTATTAGATAAATATTGCATTGGATGATGGTTGTAGAGGAGTAAAGCTTGTTTAAATTGCCTACTTCAAGTTTAAGAATATACAGCAATGGACACACATGCAGGTAGATGGATGTATTTTTCTATATTTAGAGGGTAGTTATTATTGAGACAACAAAAGATACGTCATCCTGGGAAACTATTTGAGATTAAAAAATCAAAATACTAGGGAAGATAATGAAGTATTGCATAAGATTATTGCGAAATCTTAATGTGTGATACTTTATGCTTTTAAGTATCTGAGAGTATTTAGCATATAATGGCCCTCTAATGGTTCTAAATTAAATGTCTCATTGAGAGTTTCACAGCTGTCCAGAAGAAATATTCTTGCTCTATTATTTCATTTGCTTCTCATTCCTATAACAAAAGAAATTCAAGCATATGTTCTAATACTCATTTTTCTCTCTTTTCGGAGAACAGACAGCAGTATTTCATTCACAATCATACTGAAACTGGCACAGAAAACTCTTGGAAGAGGAGGCTGGAACAGGATGCTAGAGTGGAGAAACAGTAACACTATAGCTCTTTTGAATAATCAGGTTTTAGACTTGCAACAAAATCAGTATTTTTTCTCAGTTTTTAACCAACAGGATAGCAGCCTTGTTGCATCACCAGTCACTGCATCTGACAGCTCCTCAGAAGTGGCCTGCCATCTCCTTTTCATAACACCAATGGAGTGGGACAGCATTGGTTTTGCTCCTAGATGTGGTGGTACGTCTTAAAGTATGATAAATTCAATAGTAATACAGTATTTTTCTCATAAACAAGCTGTCTTTTTAAGAGGTTAGTCTACACTGTGAATGATACACTGCCGAGTAAATCATTGCTAGCGCATCCTCTCTTATTTAATAGCTTAATAGTTTTTGTCTCCAAGTGCAGAGGGCATTGGCTAATGGTAAATAAAGGGAAATATAGGATAAAGAAGATATTCCCATTAACTTTTAGTGGTGGATAACATCAGATTGGCAGCCACCAACACTAAGATGTTGTGTTCACAACTGAAAAAACGCAGCACAGGGCAATGTCTTATGCAATCTTCCTCATCATCTCCTGATACTCTGCAGCTTGGAAATGAAGGCCAAAAAAGATGGGAAAATCATCTTGTCTCTGCTTAGAGAGGAACTCAGATGTATCACATGGAAATGACTCATTTCAATTCATGCAGTAAGACAGATGCAGAACTAGAAACAGCTCTAGGTTTTACAGTAATTTACTCTAAACGTGGACTGCTGTCTGTCTCCGACAGCAGAGCTCACAGAGGATGTGCATTCACTTTTTGGCCTTTCCCATTTAATATCAGCATGTGTGAATACTAGAAAATGGATTAGAAACAGTCACATAGGTCTCATAGCCAACCACATAACGATCAGATGGTATTTCATTCTCACTACTGTCCTGAGTTACAATACACTTWGTCCTTGCATCTTATTATTTTTGTCATGCAATTAGCATTTTCCTTTTAACAGAAGACACCCAAACTGCAGCTCAGGTGGCCAATGAAAGTTATAGTCTGATGGTCTGTCTCTATAGCACATATTCCTTTGTCCAGCACAAAGGTGAAGTGCTCAAAACGAGAGAACCAAGAGTTAAGGCTATCAAGTATCACTAATGCTCTTCACTTAAGTGAGGCATAATTCTTCCTGGAAAGAAATAGCAAGAAATACTGCATACTGTCAAGAGAATAAAGAAATTAAAATTCAGAATTTTGATCTAAGTATAGCCGAGGCTAACAGAAAAGGAGGAATTGGCAGGGAAAAGGGACAAAAATACACATGTCCTCCTACCTCCTTTATTTTTATGCCAATAGCAAATCCAAATCAGAAAACACTAGCAAGAAAAGACATTTTAGGTAACATATTAATGGATTACAGCCATAGACACCAGCTTAATCCTGGGAATTGTTGAAGGACTCCAAGCTAGAACTTACTGATGGAGAAAGAGAAAACCCTCCTTCACCTTTATGTCAAAAGAAGATGAGCTGAAAGAAAGGCTATTCACCTTCTTTGGATTCCTTGCCCTGGAAGTGAAGGATTTACGTTGACCTAGGCAGACTCCTCGACTTGAAGTAAGTTTTCTAGCTGGAGGAGASGAAGGTGCCTGTGGTCACCCCACTGCAGTGTCCTGTTCTATCACAAAGTCCAAAAGGATGATGAATGCTGGTCTCTGGCTTTCTGGAAAATGCAGTGCGGAAAGCTTTGCTCTGCCTGAGCTTCTGGGGCACTGGAGCCATCAGCAGCCACCCACTCAAACTTGGCATCTACCATGGTGCTTGCGTGGCCTCAATCTCCTGGCTCAGGGCATTCTCTCAATCCTCTTCACAATTGGATGTGCTGCATCAGTGCATTAGACCCATCCTTCCMGCACTGCAATTAGGATGGGTATCTCTTGGATGGTGTATGCAGAAGGCATCCAAGGACTCTGCCATCATCTAGACTGCCAGGGCTTCTGAGTTTTCATAGCAGGGAAATGGATGGCAATCAGAGTCAACTRCAAAAGAAGCCCTAATCTTTTAAAGAGAGGATGTGGCCACACAGAGCTTACCAAAATCCAAGACTGGCTCCATGTTATTAGGATAGACAAGCTGTTCAGTATTGCTCTGCTGTTAGCAACCTAAGAACATAAATGTCAGTTCCCTCAGTGGAGAGACAGAAAGATGTATCAGCCAGCAATAAACAGATGGCAGAATTGCAAAGAGACAGTTAAAGCAATGGCCGAAAATGAGTTTGAGATATAACATAAAAATGAAGACAGCTAAATTGCTGTATGTATAAACAATGCCAATAATGACTTAAGAAAGTGAGGTAAAATAATCCTAAAACAAAGAACAGACTAGCTAATGTATCTGTAATTTTCTGCATATCAGTTCTGTATTCCTACCACCTAGGCTATTAAGCATTTTGACATATTGGTATAAATAACAATGAATTCTGCATGACCGTTGCATATTGAAATAAAATGTCTTACACAAATAGTCACCATTTTGGCAGTTTAATTTTTTTAATAGGAGTTAAAATTCTGACTGTTTTCTCCATGTTTTGGTTTGGTGCAGAGCAAATGGTTCTGAAAGAGATTTTTCTGAGTGGGTGACACTGCACAGTACATAGAAATGACTTAAGACAGCAATCACACTGCATTAAAACAGCATATTTGCATTAAAAATATAACAAAATGATATATTCCTAAGTGTTTTATTCGTGTGTTTGTGTTAATACTCAATTCAAAAAGAACATCCATTTCCAGTAAAACACAGTACTTCAGACAATAGTCAGAATTACCCAAATTGCTTTTCTTGTAACACTAGAAGACAAAATACTAAAATAACGACTTCAAGTTGTTTACTGGTTAAAATAATGATGCTATTTTCTTCCTTTTCAGTTGGATTTTCACAACTGAAAGCCATTGGAATCTGTTAAAAATATGGTATATTTTCTCCTACCTGGTTTTGGCAATCTACTCCATGAAACCAAAAACGCAAAAAAAATGTTGATCAGAAACACTAAAATCTTACTAGCATAAACAGATTGCATATTTGATGCATACTATCTGTCCTTCCATTTTCCTGAATTTCTTTGAGTCTACAGTGATATTTTGTGTGCTTTTTCAAAATAATATTTTTCACCTCTTAACAATAAGCTAAGACAGGATCTTATGCTCTATAAAGACAGAACTTGGCTGACTTACTGAAGCCTTCTGTATTACAAGCATCTAATGATGCATCTGTGAGAAATGAAGGAGCTTCTCTCTGCCAGATTCCAAAGCGGGCAGAAAGCTGAGAAAAAATATAATCTTCTAGTAGAAAGAGAAAAATAAGTAGAATTTTGTACTAAGGTGGACTGGTTTAGAAATATGTACCATGCCACATTAGAGAGCAAGGGCAATAGAAATGTGTTTGTGTGCCCAGGTAATGCAGGTTTCCAAAGTGTGAAATGTCAGACTGAGCATTTAGGTTCAGATATTGAGATCCAGATCAGGAGCAAACAAAGTTTTAAGCTCTTGCTCTTCTCCTTGGCTCTTTTCATCTGATGTTACCTCTTCATTCTTTCTTTCATCACCCTAATTCAAGCATTGGGAGCATCTCATAGGCCAAACGTCTCCACTCTTCTGGACTGTCTCTTTCACAGAGGGCTAGCAGGTCAACTCCTCTATCCTGGCGTGCAAAAAGATCAATTGGCAGAATAACCAAATCCAAGATTTCACATTGGCAGGCCAAATCTTTTTGATGGGCTGGAAAGCTCTCACATTGTGGGATGTGAGATCTATGCTGCTAACTGAACTGCGCATCAGCCAACCTTGAATGCAATTCAAGGCAAGTAACAAGTTTATTTCAGCTAAATTTTCCAGTTGCATTTAAACATATAACTGATGTTTCATTCAGTTTGCTACCCCTGAGTATTCAGCACTTGGTAGATAGCAATTAGTTCCTAATGTTTGGTGATACCCTACTCCTCCTTTACAGGAAATCTAAACATTTTATGTAACTATCTGACATTAAGCTGTCACAATCTACTACATCTGCAGAACTTTATATTGAATATAATGCACAGTACTATGACAGTGTGGGTGGACAAGATAATCGGGCATCCTCAAAGGCACCTAAATCTGTGAGCAACCTACACGCTGCGCCTGTATAAAAGGACATATTATGGGTGATCGTGACAAGAACTTCTCTTCTAAAGGAACTCGATAAAAAGGTAATCAGAATTTCTAATCCATGCATCTTTTTTGTCTCAGTAACTCCATCTTCTACCGGGCTACAGAGTAGACTGTACTTTATATTACCTTCTGATAATTATAGCATAGTTGTGCTTGCAAAGACTTGGACTGGGAGAGGGTAGATTAGACCGTTCAAACATAATACTTAAAGAGGGTTTTTAACTAATTTAAATAGCTTGATTTCCATTTGTGTATGCATTTTCATATAGGTAAAATTAAAGAAACTTGGCTATAAGATTGCTTTGATGTTTTGATGTTTTGAGCAGACTGTGTTCTCCACTCTGAAGTCATGGCCTGCTGAAAAAAATACTCCAGCTATTGATTGCCATTTTCAAAGCACAAAACTCAATACTTTGACATCTGTCCCTCTTCCATTGTTCAGAAATAACAGAAGCTTCCTTAAGCTTAAGGAAGATTAGCTTCCTTAGTCTCAGGTAGTTTGACTCCAGTAAGTCATATTCCTCATTCCTTGACTTACAACAACATTAAAACTCAGCACACTGCTGAGTTTCTGATTTCACTGATGACTTATCTAAAGATCAGAAAACCGAGTGCTAATGTAAGGTTGAGATAGCATCACAAAAGGTTATTTTCCCCCTATAAGATTTAGTTCATTAATTGTGCCATTCAAAGGTGATAAATGTATGGCTTATTGCAATAAATCAGCCTTCTGTACTGCAACTATTTACAGACCCGTTCAAAATTTAGCTTAAGTTGTGGCTTTAATGTCAATGGGACTGTTTCAAGGGACAAGCCTAAGCATTAATGTATTTGTTAGCACAATTATGGACATAAATTTTYATCTTAAATTGCCTCTTGAAAGATTGCTGCATTACAGTGATAGAAATGAGAGGAAATCAAGCACAGGCTGTCTCTGTGGCTTTTTTTTTCAAATGAATGCTATGTGTATTTTGAGATACTTTTATCTAACATTAAGGCATATTGTAGATGTTTATGTGAAATGAGCAGATTCCATGTTTACTCGTATTATAGAGAAAACTATTTCAGGTTTTCATTTTGATTCTTTTCAGAATATTTTGGAAAATATTAAGGAATATTTTCTAGGTATTATACAAACCCTAATAGTATAGTAATTATAATATGATATTTATTCACAAGATTCCTCTATGAAGAAGAGGGAAAAAAAAAAAAAAAAAAAAGATAATTTCAGCTAATATCCTTAAAGAAATCCCTTTTCTCTTTTTTCCTCCTCCTTCTCTTCTCCTTTAGCTGAAAAGCCAATAAAAAAATTCTCCACCTCCCACACAGTTCAGAACTAGATCTGTGTGCATTTATCCCAAGCATGTTTTGAGACCTAGAAGGGGATGAAAGTAGTTAATGAGCGACAAGAATCTTAATTTCAGAAACAAATCTGTACCTTTATATTGACCTTGCTGATATATTGCAAGCTACATATTAAACAGGTTTTGATCAATTTAAGTCCAGCCTGGGGAGAAGAAACAGTTACAGGAATGTCTCGAGTGTACTTGCATTCAGCTAACCAGACTTCATGTGCATCTGCAAATGGTACAGAACTGAAATCAATCACTGATAATGAAACCACAAATGAAAAATGGACTGAAGACTCCTTTCCAGGATTAGAAATACTGTGCACAATTTATGTTATATACGCTGTGATCATTTCGGTGGGTCTCCTTGGAAATGCGATCCTCATCAAAGTCTTTTTCAAGATTAAATCAATGCAGACCGTTCCAAATATCTTCATCACCAGCCTGGCATTTGGAGACCTACTGCTCTTACTCACTTGCGTGCCTGTAGATGCAACACGTTACATTGTGGATACCTGGCTCTTCGGAAGGATTGGGTGCAAGCTGCTGTCTTTTATCCAGTTAACCTCAGTTGGAGTATCAGTGTTTACACTGACTGTTCTCAGTGCTGACAGGTGGGTCCAACGCGACTGATTTGCCAGGGAATATCTCAGGTATGAAGTTAGAAATTAATAAAAGAGTAGAAATTATCATTCTGCATAATAATACATGGCACACTGAAATAACTAGCCTCCTTCTTCCATGTAATTTAATAATATATGTTCTTGTAACAGAAGTTCTTTTTAATGAAGTGAGAAAGACTCTCTGTAAGTATTCTGACCTATTATTAGTTTGAAGTGCAGTGTATTTTTTTTCTGTCTCACACAGAAAAGGTAAATTGCTTAGGGCTCGGAAAAGACAGTATATTGGTGCTATCTAGTGGTGCACTAAAGCAGTCAATGAAGATGAAAAATAGATCTGTGGAAATGACGGGGGAAGTGGAAATCCTTCCTCTTAGGCACTTCAATCAGGGTCTAAAATCTTATAACTAAAATAACTGATATGGGTAAAAAGCTAACAGTAAAGGCATAAGAGACTGTGGAACAAGTTAGTTTCAAGACTTGCATTTTGATAGTTACCGGAATACTCTAATTTTCAACTTGACAAGTACTTTGTGTGATATAGATTTAATGTGGCATTTAATTTGAATATTTTCTCTGCTTTATGTTTACAGTTCTTCTATCTTTCCCAGAGCAATGTTAAATTAGATGCTGTGAAATTAGACTCAGGCTACACCTCAGTGGGGATCAGAGCTCCAATTTGACTGTTTCCAGAAGGAGTTGCTGAATAATCCATTTTTATTGTGTCTCCTTTCTGAATAAATAATACTAATATGAGACTTGAACATGAGCATATGAAGAAGCAGAAAAAGCCAAAATGAATTCTAGTGTTAAGGAAGAAGTAACTGTCAGCTCACATGATAGCAATCATGGATTCTATGCAATAACAAATAAGTCATGTATCCAGAGTTTACACACCAAGCAATGCTACTGTTAAGTGAAAAAWCAACCAAAGTAGGAATGGCCACACAGGGTGAGATCAAGGGGGCTTTTAGACCAATATCCAGCCTCCAGAAGTGGTTTATCTGCTGCCAGCAGATTTTTAAAGGCGAGGAAAGATATGTAGAGGAGAACAAGAACACAGCAACTATACAACACTACAGCTCCTGTCCCCTAAGCCTTCAGAGGAGCTCTACCTCTGAAAGAGKTAGGAGCACTACCTGAGCTGATGCTTGTCCACCTCATAACCTCAGTGTATTTCTCCTCTAGATCTTTGCACACCTGCTGCTTGAACTTGTTCAGCAATGCATTTCATGGGTTTAATGCCTGTTGCATAAAGAACTGCTTCTTATTGCCTGTTTTGAACCTGGCTTCATTTATCACTCTGTCTCTCACACCAGAAGAGACAGTGATTCCTATCCGTCCTCTTCAGGCTGCTCAAGTTATATTCCTTCCTAGGTATATTTTTTCAGATGAGGTGCCCAGACTAGCACAAGAGATATAGAGATAATTGCACAGTATTCTCTCTTTTGGTCTTTGTTTTCCTACTTTTTTTTTTTTTTTTTTTTTTTTGACTCTTATTGAACAGTGATATTTTCATTGAATTATCTATTATATCGCAAATATCCTGTTCCTGCAGGAGGTCTGTTAAGAATCAATCATTTACACACTTGCTTCTATATTTGATTATTTGTGGTAGCTGTTATATAATCCCTCTCGTCAACACTTTCTCAGGGTCGCTATACGGTGAAATTACTTAGGGAGTTCAGAGCATCAGTCATTAGCACTATTCCAGACTATCATGTCCCTGTATGCTGAAAAAGCTTGAGGTCAGGAAAAAAAAAAAAGGTATTTATTTAATAAATAATAGTTTTTAGCCACCAGAAAGCTGGTGGCTTTCTATTTAAATTTGCCTAGAGGCAAAAGAGAAGATTAGATCCTCAGCTGGTGAAAAATGGTGCAATTCTACTGTGCTATTTTGCTTTAGCTCCTTTTTCACCACACTTACTTTCATGCTGGTCCCATTCCCTGCTGGTAGGGATATCTTCTGTCTGCTTACACACACAAGAAGGGTCTTTGCTATTTTGAGAGCATGGTTTGTTTACTGTGAAAAGTCCACTTTTGTGGCAGCTTGTCTCTATTCCATGCCTCCTTTCCACACGTTTTTTCACACATCTACAAATTTACCCAGTCTGTTTCTCATGTGTCTAACAGTTCACATGCTGCAGCATGAGAGCGTGAAGCAACATTAGCCCATGCTTTGAAATATGAATGAATACCCAAGCACTACTTCGAGTGAGATCATTGCACTCAGCTAGGATCTTAAGAACATGGAAGGAAAGGAGAATGTGTATGCTTGAATTTGATGTATTTATAAACTCATCAACCAGTTTCATTTCTTTACAAGTTTTGCACACTAATTTCTCCCTCAACTTTCTATGTAGTTCCATGAATGTAGGATAGGTGATCACTTTACTGATTCTATTCCAAAAAAAAAAAGAAAATGCACCTCTACTTAGGCTTCCATGACAAGTCCTGCCCAGCAATTCATCATTTTCATAGAATTCAAGTATATGACTACAATTATTTTTTGTATTTCAATCTTTATTATAAAGAGCTTATATCCGTATTGATATTCAAAATGATTTCCCTCACCAGAGCTCTCCTTGCTACTGCATCCCTTGACGCTCTGATGTTGGTTGTTTCCAGGTACAGAGCCATTGTCAAGCCCTTGGAACTGCAGACTTCAGATGCACTCCTCAAGACTTGCTGCAAAGCTGGCTGTGTTTGGATCGTCTCCATGATACTTGCAATCCCGGAGGCTGTTTTTTCAGATTTATATTCTTTCAATAATCCTGAGAAAAATGTAACTTTTGAAGCGTGTGCCCCCTATCCTGTGTCTGAGAAGATACTGCAGGAAGCTCACTCCCTGGTTTGCTTCTTAGTGTTCTATATTGTACCATTAGCTGTCATTTCTGTCTATTATTTTCTCATTGCCAGAACATTATACAAAAGTACATTCAACATGCCAGCAGAGGAACCTGGTCATGCCCGTAAGCAGGTAAGCTATGGTTAAGCACTAGTGTCCAGCTTTCCAAAACGTGTCATGCTGATTGACATCTTAGTGTTTGAGTGCAAAACCTTTACTTCATAGTATGTGCAAACAGGCAACCAAAATACTCCATAAACTCAGTCCATTTTAGCAATACAAATTCAGCTATGCGCTTGAGCACATGCTTATGAGTCACTAGCTTAACTGTGGGTGTACACAAGAGAGATGGCTTTTCTGTTTTGTGTTTTACCTTTATTATGACCCCATTAAACTCAGAAGTTATAACGTGGAATTCTAAACATAAAGACCTCATTGGCATTAGAATTAAAAAGTGTAACATTAATAAACATTAGCTTCACTGACACATTAACCATTGTCCTTTCAAATTCAAGTCTAATTGAGCTTCCCATGTGATTTATAAGGGACAGGAAATGTGTTCTACACTAGAAATACTTTGTGTAAAGGAAAAAAAAAAAAAAAAAAAAGAATTACCTTTCTGTTTTGTAACTATTTGGCTTTTTTTGGTCACTAATGCATTTAGATTGATTAACGTTAACAGTCTTAGAGCCCTCTAGAAATCAGCACCAATTGCATAAACATGTGTTACTAATTGCTATTAATACCAGATATGCCTTATTTTCTCCTAGATTGAATCCCGCAAGAGAGTTGCAAAAACAGTGCTGGTGCTAGTTGCTTTATTTGCCTTTTGCTGGCTGCCTAACCACATCCTCTACCTATACCGCTCCTTTACATACCACTCTTCTGTAGATGCTTCTGCCTTTCATCTGATAGCTACTATTTTCTCCCGTGCCTTGGCCTTCAGCAATTCCTGTGTCAACCCTTTTGCTCTTTATTGGCTGAGTAAAAGCTTCCGGCAACACTTTAAAAAGCAAATCTCATGCTGCAAGGCAAAACTTGGTGCTAAACCTCCCAGTGCTCCCCAGAGTAACACACCTACCAGAGCGTTGTCGGTCACGGGCAGCACACACGGCTCAGAAATCAGTGTCACGCTGCTCACAGATTACAGTATCACAAAAGAAGAGGAAAGTGTTTAGGCCATCTGTGGGGAAGAAGAACAGAAAATGAATGTCTCTAATCATGTTGCTACTATCTGGATCCTGGAAGGGGCTGCCTTTGCTTGCACTTTCCGTGCGATTTTCAGCGAGTTTCTAATTCTTATAATTATTCAATGAGAGAAAAAAAAGTAGACTGTGTGGGAGAAGCTAAAGCAGCTGAATGTTTCAGTGGAAGCTCAGTCAAAGGAAATATTCAAGTTCCACAGAATGAATATGGATTGTTAACTGAAATTCCATGTACTGGGCAGGACAGAAGTCAGCAGAGCTGCAAGGGAATTTCTGCACTGGTTGAGAGGTTTTATTCTGGCAACTTGTTGACTTGTGACTGGAAACTCTCTTTTGTCAAGGTATTTGTGCAGGTATTGCAAGCAAAACCATGTTTCTTTATAACATAGCAAATGAGGTAGGTTTTAAATTTCTTTTCTTGTCCCAAATGTTAAAAACTCAGTGAATATTTCTGAAAGTAAACTAAAATGAAACAAAACTAAAGTCAGGAGTGTAGTTTAGGAAAAAAAGAACTATTTTAGGCCAGCTCTGCACTACCGATTGCTTCAAAAAATCCAGGTAACAACTGCCTGCATTTAGAAGGGATGCCCTGATTCCCTCCTCAGTTCCTAAGAAAGTCAAAGGAATGAGTAGGTGATCGCATGTTTAAATAGGGTAAGCACATTTAGCCACATTTGTAAAATCTTTTGAAGCCAATGGCTAAAACAGCTCAACAGAGCAGAACTTTTTACTGTTGTATGGCAACCTCAAGAAACCAGTGTGGATTGTGATTGGTTTAGTTTGGATTAGCAAGATGCTTTTGAAGCAAACTGCTCAAATATCCCCACTTGCCTTACTGTGGTTTGGCTCCAAGAGGCACCTTTGGCGCATGCCAGGATTCTGGTTCCAAGAGGAAACTATGTATTTGGTCCATGGAATGAGATGAAAGCTAGTCTGAAGTAAAACTCTGAAGAGTGCAGGGAGTGGGTRTCAGACTAAGCATTGCACTCTGCAGATCCGATCCCAGTGCAGTGTATTGCTTGGTAATGTGGTCATCCTACAGTGGACTGCAAATTTTCAAGCATGCTAGGAGAGCTGGCTTTATATTGTACTTATTTTTGAAGTTATTAAACTACTATCCCTTTTTAATGTGATATATGGATTATACAAGATAGTGTTCTCAGTACAGGAAGTCTGAATTTTATTTCCTGTTTAAAAGGCAAATTAGCCCTTGAAGATGMAACCACCTTCTCCAGCTGCACAGAGCCCCAAATCCACCCATCCCTCCACGCACCATCATTTCAGTTCAGAATGAGACAGAACTCATAGAAAATCATTATTTGCAGCTTCTCTATTTTGACTGCCTTAATCAGAACAATAAAACCAAACCATAAATCCCAAGGGCATTCAATACAACCTGTGCAGCTACCTTAAACCAGTATAATCAGGCGTGGACGTATCTTACCAGATTCTTCATTTATATGATGCAAGTCTAAGTACTAATTTTCAATGAAATCCTGACTCTCCCTTTTATTGTACCAGTTACAAAACAGGATGGGACTACTGAAATAAATGGAAATACAACAGCACAGAAAAGCAATTTTTTGCCAAAGTGTACCCAGAGACTTCTTTTTACTCTCTCTGTGCCCAGACAAAACTGGCACTGAGCTCCGTACCSATACAGCAATCACACTGCACTCCCTTCACTTCTTCCTTAATGGGGCTGCAAGGTGAGATTAAATAAAAAAGCCTGMTCAGTTAGCAGTGCACTTTTATCTATCCGGATCTTACTACAGGGAATTTCAAACAGAAGAAACACCAACAAACACTATAGCTCTTTACATCATTCATCTTTCCTATTCTATTTTATTAAAGTCTCTGAAAAATATTTGTCTCTGCCAGGCAGAGGGTCCTTAGAGGGTCCTGGTTCCAAATTCACCATTTTCCTTGCTTTGCATGCAGCAACTTCRGGCTTATGTACCCTCTGTTCTAACTAGGCTGTTTACCTTTTTGCTGTTACATACTTTTATAAAAAATGATGTGTTTGCTATACGCTGCTCATGTTTTGCTTAAAGACTRGCCATATTCGATGCCATATTTTAACCATTCCGTGTTTTTATAGTTACATCTTCTTAAGCTGTCACGATGATGTATTAGAGTGATTTAGATATTTTTATCTGAATGGAATATTCATTCCCTCAATTCCTAATATAACTATCCATAAAATGTCTCCACATTACCATAATTGGATTTAGGGGAAAAAGTTTATTTCCTTCGCAATCTTTTCTGTTTCTTGGTGGGAAAARAAAAACCACTCTTTCAGCCCTTGGTGATACAAATACAATTCAATAATAATATACGGGAACTATATCTATTTACAGAAATGCTGAGTGTGATTTAGAAAAGAACTGACATGAGAAATTAGGGTCTAACTATTTATATCTACCCTGAAAGAAAATGTAGAAGAAAGGTGCAAAATATAGAAAGGAAGACTCTATTAAAGGACTTGTCCCTATGGAGTCTTTCTGGGCGAGTAAATACTATTTTTAGGGTGTATCCTTTTTTAATTTTGTGAACGAGATGAGCCTACAAACAGCTTTAATGCGTACAAGTGTAAGAATTAATGTTCTTGTTAGCAACTTCGAGGTGATACTCTAATTTGTTTCACACTACCAGCTCATTTTGGAGAAAAAAAATACTTTCCATATATATATAAATATATATATATATAAAAGAAAAAAGTCAAAGCGTGTCTATACTGTAACAAATTGCATCTCYAGCAAATGTCACAGAATATTAAAGTTAGTTCATGCAATGACAGCCATTTTGAAGCTGTTTTCTGTTTTCATAGAAAGTATTTTACGTTGTTGGCAGGCATGTATTTCTTATAAGGGTAATTCACTTAATAACTTAAGTTACACACAGCTGTAGCAGTGATACCGGCTCTCCCACTTGTCATCTCCTCAGTCAACGGTAGTGTGGAATTTCCTTTGTCAACATATGAAATAGTATTTYGGTTTTGGCTCATCTGGATCTGGTCCTGTCTTTCTCACGTGGCTAAGACTTCTTCATCCCCGTTAGAGACTGTGTATAAAAACAGCTACAGGCTGCAGTCCCACGGACAGCACAAACAGGCGGAATCTCCCTGTCATCATCAACGTTCACTGCCTGCAWTTTTAATATCTCAAAGGATTTTCTAAAAGAAAAAAAAAAAGTGAACTATGAAACTTCATCTAGTTTTAGCTATTGAATTTCTGATCMTACTTCAATAGGTATCAAAACATGTGTTCCTTGCTAATACCAAGTTTAAAATACATGTAGTAGATGACATCTTTAGAACAACATCCAACTCTAAGAGTTCCTTTTATCACTCTGAAAAATCATAGACACAAAATTATCATTATGTAATATSCTTCCTTTTACTATGCCATCTCCTGACCCGAGCTGTTGAATTCCAGCTCTTAGCCCCATCCCTGAACACACAGGTCATCTTTCCTTTGGTGCAGCAGCAATGGTTGTGCAACCACAMACTGTGCTGTTCCAGAGATGTGATCAAAAGAAAAGCTGACCTGACATTCAAAAAGGAAAAGTTTTCAGACGAATCAGCTCCCTGAGCTGCTCCCTGTGCAGGAGCTGAAGATGAGGAGCACAGACAGGGGCAACAAGGTAAGAAGCTATAGATGGGAGTTGCTCTGCTCTAGCTAACCTCGTGCATGCTACCTGTGGGGAGTGTGGGGCAATTCAAGGTAGTTTATCCTTATTTCTACAGCAAGATAGAAGCATGCAGATCAGATTTACCACGCAGAATGTGGTGTGCGGGAACTCGTTACCCCAGCTGCATGCAAGCATGCTTTTGTCTCTGTCAGACTGAAGGAATTAAGGTTGGACTTCCTACTTGCCAGTACCAYGCTCTTAAGACTTGTTTTAGCCAGGTCTGAGGTGTACTGCATAGAAAATGATACGGGCAATTTAAGATGCAACTGTATTTATGACTCCTGCAATAATCTAAGGCTATGATTATTTCACTTCCAAAACACATATTCAGTTCAAACCCCATCTTAGTGCAATTGAATTGAGTCCATCTTCAGTTCCCCAGTTAAGAATGGAGACCAGTGCAGTGAGCATTAAATCTCAATAACTCACTGCAGCTTTTCCTCAAACATCTAATTTAGGCTACCCCCATCTTTCCAGTGTCAGCAATATGGCATGGAAGATCCTTTATCTGACATATACTTAGCTGTATTTTATTTCTTCAAGTAAGCATGGTACATGATAAGCTTCTGATGCACCCAATGAAATCTGATGTTTGTCTGAGAGTGAACATGAATGCCTATTAAGCTGTCAGTTTATAAGTGATTACAAAACAATCTTTGGGCAACTATCGTAATAGCTCTGCCAAGAGAAAATTCTTGAAGTGTGGAAGATGCCATTAACTAGGTTGGATGTTCGCTGTATAGCAGCCAAAGGTTACTAAAAGTCTGTATTTATAGCCTTAGCAATTTTATCTGACTGTCAGTTGACTTGCCTGTTAATTTATGTTGGTCTCTCCCTTCTGAGCTTCCTAAGCTCAGAATTGAATCCTTGATTTTATTATCATTCCAGTGCATATGACGGGCGAGATATATTTGTTCCCAGAGTATTTATTTCCAGAAAATTTCTATACTGAATATCACTCTCATTTTAGAGAGACTACTTTACCACTACAGTCATCTGGCAGAYGGCCACTACCAGCTTTGATGCAACTGCTCAAATGAATCATTTAAAAAACCTGCATCGCTGCAATACTGACATTTGTCACATTAACAACAAGCAAAAAAAATATGTTCACTTGTGCTGTAAATAGCATTACTTTTAACTATATGCCTTAGCAAATAAATTTGCTTTGAATGTAAAGCTATCTAGTCTGAAAGCCACTAGATGGCAACAGACTATGTGCATTGATATTTAAAGACATTTGCATGAGTACTTAAAAATAACCAATGTAAGAATCATTTATTGAAGTGCCCAGGCTACAGTACTGCAGTGATGGGTAACTATTCAGCAAACCTCACTAATTCAGATGTGTGAYGCTTTGAGGACAAGCGTGACCCTTTCACAGCCCTTTCAGGTGCGAGGCTAAGGGCAGGCTGCCACACCACGTTCCTCTGGAGCAGGCACTTGCAGCCACTCAAGGACCTAAACCTGGGAGCAGAGCTGCCCAGGGCACCTCTGCCAGCACCCACACCCACGCAGGAGCGAGAACCCAGGTAAAATGGCACTGAGCACACGTGTTCTGGGCAACCTACTTCTTATTTTTGTCTTTGCTTCTGGTATGACAGGTGGGCTTTCGGTCCCAGGGACAGGACCACGCTGGCACACAGCCGCAGGGCAGTTCCTCACTGYTTTACGCCCACGCTTAGCAGGGTATTTATCTGGACGCCTAAGTAAGGCCGCGCAATCCCCACACTCGSGGCTCGCCATCATGGCGCCCGCGGAGGCGACGCGAGGCCTCGTCCCGCCCCAGAGGCGGGAAAACAAGCCCCGCCCCCTACACACGCGCGCCGACGCKCACGGCGGTCCCGGAAGCATCCTCTCGCCCTCATGCCCATTGGCTCCGCTGCCACCCACGTGACGGAGCAACGCGCTGCTCAGTGGCTGAGGGTGAAACGGGCGGGGCAACCCCGCGGCGGGGCGGAGGAGGGGCCACTTCCGCTCCTGCGCGCGGCGGCGGGCGGTGACCGGTGCGCGGGAGGCTCCGCGCGCGCCCCCGGAGCCCAGCCCCGGGGCCCGCGCGCCCCGCCGCCATGAGCGGCGCGGACGGTAACGACGAGTTCTACCAGCAGCTGCAGCTCCAGCAGCAGTACGAGGCGGAGCGCGGCGGCGGCGGCGAAGGCGAGCCCGACCCCTTCACCTACGTGGACCCGGCCGACGGCGCCGCCTACGAGTGGGACCGCGAGAAGAAGGCCTGGTTCCCCAAGGTGGGCGCGGACACCGGCGCCGTTACCTCGCGGCGAGAGGCCCGGCCCGGGGCTCCGTGATGAGGAGCGGCCTCCCCGGCCCGCGCGGGGCCTCGGGGGCGCCTCTGCCCGGGCAGGCCACAGAGCGGGACAGACCGTTTGGTTTCGCCCCTTGGTGGCCTCCGGCCCCGAGTCTGCGGCCCGGGGGCTGCCCGGTCCCGGCCCCTCGCGGCTGCTCCGCACCCCGTGTTGTGCGCAGGTTTTCCCACTGACGGGTGAGAGGCAAGGAGGGATCATTGGGATCCCCCCACCGTGGTGGCCTTGCTTGGATCCAGCCGGGCAGATGCCTGGTGTGAAACAGCTGCAGCATTGAAGCATAGAGCAGGCAAAACCCACGCAGCTCCTCTTGTCCCCGTCTGCCACCTTACAAGGAGCTCTCTGCTCTTTTGTTGTGGAGCTTCGGTTTYCTCCTTGTCTGTAAAGTCTTAGGATAGTTTCATTCCCTCTCCAAGCCTGGTGTGAAGTCACGGCTATATTTGTGGCTCTTTAAGAGCTGGTGCTGATGTTGATAYTTCAAACTTTCTTGGTAGTAGTAGCTGTGATAAAACTTGCTCTTCTGTTGTGAACGAAGCATATTATAAAAGGCTGAAGTACAAGTGGAATAGTACATTCCTTTTCTGGCTTGCGAGTATCTGAAAATTGTATATATAAAGATTTCAGGTTCCTTCTCTTTAAGTCTTGGAAATACATCTGAAAGCTAAGCGTAAGTATTCTATAGAACAGATTTTTTTTCTTCATTATTTCAAATATTTTAAGTATTAGAAATTCCCATGGCCTATTTTTTTCAAAATGGGAGGAAAGACCAATTTTGTTTGTTGAGCTCCTCTGCTGAAATGTAAGCCAAAGAATAATTTTGTCACAGAGTAACATTTAATGAGAGGAATTACTTCATTTACAAAATATTAAGACTTTTTATGTGATACACATGGTAAATGAAGTCTGTTATTTTAGGTTTATATTTGYATAAACACAGTAAGCTGTTCACGTACTGGATGGTTTGCAGAGGGGCAAAACCCTGAAAAATCCGAAAGCACATAGTGGAGCTGTGGAGAACTGAGAATCCCTGCTCCCTGCCGTGTGCTATACTCAATAAAACAGTGACTTCCAGAAGTTTTCTCTTTGTTTTTTTTTTTCCCCTCTTTCCTAGCCTCTTTTTTACCTTGCAACTATTTTTTCCTTTAAGTCTCTATTTTCTCAGGAACATTGATCTTCTCTAAGCATCTTTCTTATCTGAAATCTTCATCCTAATAGCAAATTTAACTAATTCCAAATATAAAGATATCTACCTGTTCCTGATTTGATCAGCTGCTCCTCTCTTCCAGCCTTTTGTGTTTTGCCGTGAAAAACAGACTTAGAGTGTCTTTTGTAAGGCTAGACTAGCTGYTCTTTGTTTGGTTAATTGATTCCTTTCCACTTCAGTGTGGCCAGTGCTTAACTATATGCTAGTATTATGTTTCTTTTCCTATAAGCTTAATTGCCTCAAAGGGTAGAGCTAGAGGGTGTGAAGACAGAACTAATCCCCATCCTTAAGTTCTCCACCACAATTGGATTGTAGTCTGTAARAAATTCTGCAAGTACTTGTTTTGCTTGAATGGAATAACTTTAAGTACTGATAAAATTGTTTATGTTTGCATATTAGTTTTTTAAAAATTGTTTTAAAAATAATTGCATTTATATTAATGATATAGTATAAAAAAGCGCTTTGTTATATATTTATAAAATTTGACAGCTGACTCGGGTCTTTCTCCTATACATCTTCTTGGTTTAAAACACTATRTTGATTGACCTAGAAGAGAAGAAATAATGGTTATATTAATGTTCCGGGACACTTTGTTTAGAATTAGCCATTTTGACTCAGTCTAGTAAAAAGCCAGAAACTATAAAGTACACTGTTAGAATATTTTTTTCTCTTAAAATCATTGTACCCTTACTGCCTTTTGATATTGTGCAATGCCAAATTCTGTACATAAGGGCAGCTACTTATGTTTCTGGTATAGAGGAGAGCTACAAATCTTGTTTAGTGTAGAAGCTATTTCATATTAAATGGTGGAGGAATATGAGGCTGCACAACATTTTGCATTATTCATGAGAAGCCTGTTGCTGTCGGCTCTGTATGGCTTGTCAAAATAAAAGCTTATAATTGAAACCTCAAGCTTCAAACCAGTACAGAAGGTATTGCATTGTGGCATTTATTATTGTCCATTGTACCTCTTTCTGTTACAGTAGCTTACTGTTGAAATTAAATTTTGWTCTCTTTTGTGTGAAGATGAAGAAAGCAGAACATGCATCAGAGCCAGATAAATTTTTCCAAGTTTAAGTCTCAATTTTGGGAAAAAATAATTTCAGAGTATGGAATTTCAGAAAGTTTTTTATAGTGCAGTGATGTTGGTGGATTCTTTTTTGTTTTGTTTTGCTTGTGCATTTGTTGCTGGTGGCTGGCACTGAAGTTCATCTGGCTGAAGGTATTGTTTGTAATTTGTAGCTTGTTTATTTTCATCTCAGCAAATATTATCCAGTCGTATCCTAGTATAGTCGTGATTGGAAAAGTGATAAAATTATTTATCTATTAGTATTGTGTAAGAGGTGTAGCCTTATAAACAGTGTGTCAATATATGGCTCAGCCTAAGTGCATTATTTATTGTCTATCAGTGCAGATATATTTCTTCTATGAAGTTGTTCCTATGAAAAGACAGATGCCTTCAAATGTCAGTGAAATTAATCATCTGCAGATAAATTGTTGGCCTACCTTCAGTGTCACTTTATCTCTTCAACACAGTCAGGAGTGCTCAGTTTCCAACCTTGGGCAAATGCAATTGAAGTTGTAATCAGAAGGCTTTGCTTGGTGAAAGGTCAGAGCTTGTGAAATGCCTTAAAACTTTGTATGACGTATTAAACTCGTATGTTAGTCTAGCTCAGGTGTCTCCTAAACTGACTACTTTTGCTGTCAGCTTTCCAAAGTTAAAGTATTTTTACCATAATGTATGTCTATCTGTGATGTCAGATATGTCTGTGATCAAAGCCAAAACCCTACCATTAAGAAACATTTGTAATCCTGAATTTGTATGTCTTCAATTTTTTGGATTAATTTTTTTAATTCTTTTCAGATAACAGAAGATTTTCTGGCAACATACCATGCTAACTATGGCTTCAATGCAGATGATACAGACAGCTCATCCGCTTCTGGCACAGCAGCTGAAAGTAAGCTACCAGTAAGTTCTAAGACATCGGGAACACAACCTGCAGCGAACGAGAAAGGACCACAACAAACTGATCCAAAACAAAAAGCAGAAAAACGGAAGCTTGAAGCAGGTAGGAGATTGCAGCTTTTGTTATATATCAGCCACAAACYCAATAGCACTAAGTGATATCTTGGTTGATCACTGGTTTTTTTTTTGCATACATTTATTGCATGCAATTAAAGATACTGTGTGTTCTGTAAATTTTCCGAGTGATTTTGAAGTCATATAGCACTACTTAGGTATCCTTTCCACCTCATTTATGAGTCAGAAAATAAGCCAGCTAAGGAGTACCTGTGGACAAAAAGACTCAGTAAATGGATGGAATGTGAACCTCAGAATTACTTTAGTGTGTGATCTCATGTTTAGTATATTAGCATAACTGGATTATACATTTTTTTTTAGGATGGTTTCATGTTGAAGAAGACAGAAACACAAATGTTTATGTGACTGGTAAGTATTAGCATTTAATTACATATTTTTAGCTTTTGTTATTTATATGTGAGAGAAACTCATATTTGCCATACTAACTTCTAATATTMTCTGTTCTTAGCATTCTTGACTGCATCATATCTTCACAATTGCATGTGTGCAAAAGTGATACAGGGGCATATTCCAACATCTTGTGTGTTGTTTAAATAATGTATTATGCAAGGTGTCAGCCAAGTTCATTGTTCTCCAATTTCTTAAATCAAGCCGTAGCAAATGAAGCCAAAAATTTCTTGAGAACTCTTTACTGGAGAAGGACTAGAACAATGAAAATAAGTTTATATCAAGATGTGTTAAAGCTACCTGACACTTAATCTTTTTTCATCCTCTTTATTTTCTGATTTTATAAATAATTAAGAAGAATGATAAGAATGAAGAAAGTGTAAAATAAGCTGAGTTTAGGATAAATAAGGGGGAGCTCAAATRAATCTCTGTGTTACATTATTTCTCTGCCTGGATATCAGTGCTAGGTTTAGTTGTATAATTGCAAGTAATAGTGGTGGTTCCTGAAAATCATGGCCAATCTTGTTGCAGTCCTGTTCAAAAGGACATTTTGTCATCTGAGTRGTCACAAAAATGTACAGCACAGCAGTCTCAAACATTTTTTTCCTTCCTTTCTGGTTTTCCGTTGTCCTCARTTCAAAGTTCAGACTTAAATTTCATAGATTTTCAGTGACAACTGCAATTTTAGTTGATTTGTGGGTAGAAGAAAAGTCTTCTGTTTATAGTGTGTTTCTGTCTCAAATACTTAAAAAGAAGTATGGTGAAACTTTCTGGTTTGAGTAGGTTATCTGTATTCACATGGATCAGTGCAGTACATTGTGTGCACAGCAACATTAGTGTCATCTCATCTGCCTTGTTCAACACTAAAGCTCCAGGTGTGCTTTTAGATAGCACAAAAATGTCACTGTTGAGGTTGTACCAGAAATGCCTATTTAGAAGTAAAAAGCTCTTTAAATATTGGTATAAGATACTGTCTAGAAGATAGTAGCAAAAATATTGATTGAGGAGTRGTGGTTTACTAATGTGGATGTAAAACTTCATCATTAAGCTTGGTATCTTTCATTTAGTGAAACACTTTGAGTTTCTTATGTTCTGRTAATAGAGAAGAAAAACTGAACCATCTAAACATATTCAACCCTTCCATTTTAACTTATTTTGTAGGTTTACCTCCAGACATTACAAAGGATGAATTTGTACAAGTCATGTCAAAATGTGGTATCATTATGCGAGATCCTCAGACAGAGGAACACAAAATCAAACTTTATAAGGATAAGGAAGGAAACCTTAAAGGAGATGGGCTGTGTTGCTATCTAAAGGTCAGTGATGCACTGAAACACAGTATTGCATTCTGGTGAGGATATTTGTGGCCACTGTCTCAGAATGACATCAAGAAGAGTCCTAAAATACCTAAATACAACTGAGAATTTAGATATGCCAGAAAAAAAAAAAAAAGCAGTACCTGTCTGTTTACCTTGTTTGTATCTCCTTGTCTAGACCTTAGTAAAAACAGCCTTAATAGCTGCTGGGCATGTTGCAAAGTGTTCCYGTCTTTCAGTGCCAGTGCTCAGCTTGGACGTTTTCTGCTAAAGGACATGAAGGTTTTCAGCCTAGCCATGCTGTGTCTGGCTATACATGTACCAAAGGGGCATCTCTCAAACAGTGTTACRTTCATTGATTATAGCTATAGCCATTTTTATTCACCTTTTACGTGGTGACTTAGTGGTTCATTTTCTGAAGATTTGGCTTCTGGGTTCTGTTCTTGACCAGGTTTGAGTCATAGCTACTGCAGCCAGTGGATGTGTTAACACTTGCATTCACTGATGTTATGGAGGTTGGATTGGGAATGTCTTCACCATTCACTCTGAAAACAGCACTGTGTGGCTAGAAACACAGGAATAATGAGGTGGAAAGGAACTTATTGTAACCCTGTAGTTAGGGCCCTTAATTGAGTAGAATAATGTTTAAACTTGGACCAAAATCCAAAACTGTTTTGCATATTAATCTGYAATAGTTTAGGTTGTGCTAATATAGCCTGTATGTGCTTTGCGTGCTGGTCATTTGCAAAGTTAGTGCATGCTAGTGCGGTCTGTGCAGCTCTGCAAGAACTACCAGATAATACTAATGGAACTGCCTTTGTGATATTAATAGTTAAACCTGTTTAGCATACAGAGATGAAAATAGTTTCTAGTCTAAAGAACTTCTAGGAAAATTAAAAAAAAAAAAAAAAAAAAAGACTTAAGATCCTTTAAATATCTGCTGTTCTAGGAGATGATAAAAGCTTTACAGAAAACTAGCACTCTATAATTTTTGTTTTCTGCCTTTTAAGTTCATCAGCCTGACTGAACATTGAGAATTGGTTTTTATGGAATATTTGGGTGAAATGTAAGCCGTTGCTTTTGGGAACGTTAATCTGCTATGACAATAGGGAAGCAATAGTGGGTTTTATTTGGCATAAAAAGCATTGTAAGCTCAGTGTGTAATTTTTTTTTCCTCTCAAGAGACTTGGGAAAGATCTGACGTGATGGTTTTCAGTGTCAGGGAACTGATTCTTATCACAATATTCTTAATTAAACGTTACTGGAATAATTTGACTATGCTGTGTGCTTCAAAGGTTGTGCTGTGTTTTATCTTCAAATAGAGGGAATCCGTTCAACTTGCACTGAGACTTCTGGATGAGGCAGAAATTAGAGGCTATAAATTGCATGTTGAAGTTGCAAAGTTTCAACTGAAGGGGGAGTATGATGCAAGCAAGAAAAAGAAGAAATGTAAAGACTACAAAAAGAAGTTATCCCAGCAGCAGAAGTTTGTATTTTTTTTCCTTCAGTACATGTTGTTTGAATTCTTTAAGTGTTGTAAAGAAAATGCTACTTTCACTCAGATGCAGTGCTAAGAGCTATGCCAACACTGCCATCACTTATCAAAATGAAATAACCTCAAAAAAAATAGAGAAGGAAGAACTCATAAATACTGATTAATCCAACTTGCTCATAACTGCCAAATTAAATTAATATTTAAGGAACTAACATTATTTCAGTTGTAGAAGGAAATATTACAACTCTGTGAAGTTAAAAGACCCTTTTTTTAAAACCCTTCTTTCCTGCCCTATTCCCTGCACTGTATATGACAGCACAAGTCCGGTTTCTAAATCTAAGCTTAGTTCTATAGGAGAACTCTAGTTCTCCTCATACTGTTCACATCATAGCTGAGAATGGTAAGAGATGCTAGTTTCCATAGGAACAAATATTAAAATATGCTTGTAGATTCCCCCAGACAACTGCATTTGATATAAGATACATGGTTATCTTTTAATTCTATATAGATGCATTATTTTTATTTTTAGTTTTCTGTCTGCTTTTTTGGAACCAAAAGAGCTCARATTATAAAAGAAAGTACGAGAAAATAAGAATGTGGATTATTTTAATGAAAGCAGCATTCCAGTAAACATTTTAAATAGTACTGCAAATGTATTTTGCAGTAGTTAAAGGGATCAAATTTCATTTGGCATCATATCAATTAAAAGGAGCTTAAAATGTATCTGCCTGGGAGACATTTCCAATTCTTATTTTAAGAAAAATCTCCAGTGGGGAGAGAGATATAGTATGAAATAATGAAGTTATATTTGACAGCACTTTGTGTGAATAAATAAATTTTGTTTTTCTTTTAGTCCCTTAACTATTCGAGTCTAATCTTATGTAAGTTGACTCCAGTTGATGTTCCTTTTGAGTTGAAGAGCATAATTTACTTGCAAAACAACCTTCACTGGAAATCCAAGTTATCTTCAGCTGAAGTAGCAGATACAAGAAGGAAATTAAACAAGATCTTTTTTTTTCTAAAGATAAGATTTTGAGATTTAGAAGTGTAAGTTAAACAATGTCCATGTTTTGCAGTAGGAGAAGTAATACTAGAATTTTTTACAAGGCTAATATTTGTCACGAGAAAGCAAAGTCATAGAACGTACGCCCTGAAGTACATTGCTGGTTTGTGTGGCTAGCTACCTTGCAGTAATTTCTAGTAAGCCTGTAAGTGTTTTTGCATGTTTTGCAATCAGAATTTTATCAAAAGGAAAAATGGATTTCAGTTTTTATGTAATGATTCTTCATTTATAAAGGATGCTAAAGTACTGGTAATTTTATTATAATTGGCAGCAGCTAGTTCCTTGTCTGAACTGATATTAGTGAGGAATTAAATTTGAGTGTTCAAGAAGTTGCTTTGATGCTCACGAAGAATTCTGAATTCAGGTATCCTAAAACTCCAGCTGCTTTGTAAAAGGAGAATTGGTAAAATCAGACTTCTATCATGTCTTTAAAGGAGTAGTTTAACTCTTTGCATCAAAATACTTGTTTTGCTTGATATATTATAAAACAAGATAAATATAAGACATATTTTACAAGACCAAATTAATGACTTTTTTTTCAACAAATGCTTGTAGAAACTGAAGAGAGCCGCAACAATATCTTCTTACTGTTGCTTCATTTCATTAGACAGCTGGATTGGAGGCCTGAGAAGAAAGATGGTGCAAATCGAATGCGACATGAACGCATCATTATTATCAGGAATATGTTTCATCCAAAGGATTTTGAGGTGAGGGAGATGTATTTTCTTGATATTAACGATGCTCTTACAATCCTGTAACAGTATCTGTTTCAGCTTCCTATCATAAAGAACTTGGCAAAACTGAGCAGAAGAGAATGAACATTAAACTATTTTGGCATTCTTTGGCTTTTTTTCTAATACCAAATGCTTAAAGCTTAACTGAGAGAAAAAATATTGGCAAAAGAGTAGACCAGTCACTATGTTGAAAGGGAGAAGCCAGCACAAAACAGGTTTACTAATAAGTTTTCTTCATTAACTCAAGGACTATTATCTCCAAATAGTTTTGAAAATATACAGTAATATATTCTAATTTTAAAAATTGTAAAAAATATATATATATATATATACATTCCAGTTAGTTAAATGAATGTCTAAGTGAGAATAAAGCTGATTTTATTTTTTTGATCTGTGTAATTGCCTTGCAGGAGGATCCTTTAGTGCTAAATGAGATCAGAGAAGATCTACGGACAGAGTGTGAAAAGTTTGGACAAGTAAAGAAGGTTCTCATATTTGATGTAGGTATCTTTACAAGTTACATTGCATAATTGTTATGTGTAAAAGCACATAGTAGTGTTAGATTTCTTTAACTATGGATGAGCCATTTTTTTCTTTCTATGGGTTTATTTAATGCAAATTTGATATTTTTTAATTTTAGCCAGTGGAACAAAACGTGAAAACTTGTAACTTCTGTGCTTTTTAAACGGGATTGTATATGTTCAGCATGAAGCTATATTCTTGTCTTTGGCAAGGCAAAAGATGCTAGAATGAAAGTACTATGCAGAAAAGTAAACCGTGTGTCTCCTTGCAGCGGCACCCTGACGGAGTCGCTTCCGTGTCATTTAAAGAAGCAACAGAAGCAGATCTGTGCAAGCGAACCCTGAACGGAAGGTGGTTTGGAGGCCGTCAGCTCAGTGCTGAAACGTGGGACGGTGTAACAGATTATCAGGTAGTTTTTCCATGGTTCTACTTGATCAGCCTGCCAGTTTGTATGTGTGTCTTCTGTTATTCTTCCTCCCTGTCTTGTTTGTCTGAAAAAAATGGCAAGGATCCCTCCACAGGATCATTCTTAGTTGCTCATTTTAACAGAAAATTTAAAGAACCTGCTTCACTTGAAAAAAATGTATTAGAAATGTAAACTTAATAGAGGATTACTTGCTGAACAAAGGGATTATTAATTCACAGAAAATGGGTCCTATTGAAAATCTTGAGGTATTACTGCAGCATAAATATCATATAAGTTTATCTATGTAAATGTATCTACTTCTAGGAGCATTTTTTTAACGATTTTCATAAACATTTTTAATAGGTGGAGGAGACTGCAAGAGAAAGGGAAGAAAGGCTCAAGGTGTGGGGATCATTCTTAGAGGATCCTGATGCAAAGGAGGAGAAAACCACATCTGATTCAGATTCTGCAACAAGTAGTGTTCAACTGCCTGAAGGCAGACAACCTTCCAAAGCTAATGACACAACTAAAGAGGATGTAAAGGATGAAGCCCCTAAGGGGGAGAATAATGGGGAGGGCATTAATGAAGATGGTGCTCCTTCTACAGACAGCAGTCTTGCAGGCAGTGATGATGAAGCAGATACATAACACCTTCAAAGCTTTATGAAAGCGTAATTTTTAGGGTGGTGTTTGAGTTTWTTCCTTGTTTCCCAGTGACTACAGACAACATTCATATGAGTATATGCATTTTAGGATGTCATCTGTTGTGTGCTTTGAGATTTTCATTAAAAGCAGTATTTAATGAGGCTCTAAAAGTTTCTAATTAATTGGCTGTTCAGGTAAAGTAATTCAAGTTGCCAAGAATGCATCAGACTGAGGCTTCTTTTGTTCTATCTTTGCTTGTCAATGTTTCATTATGTAAGTGTAAAATATGTTCAAACACTTAAGTTTATGTAACTGTATGAAGCTTTAGTAATGCAAAGCTATTACAAGATTTGTGGATTTTACTGTAAATTTTCCCTGTACCCTTTGGAATTTGGTGTCTTATTCTTCAAAGCTACTGTTGTCCTGAGCTCTTTGGATTGTTGTTTTACAGAACAAATCCTGTGATACATACAGGGTGAACGTTTAGAAATGTTGTTACACCTTACAGAGCAAATAATGGAGTAGTACAAAGTTGTTCACGGATGTGGAAGGTGAGCAAGGTTACTACAACTGACATAAAGCAAACTTAGTGACGAAAGATAATTAAATCACACCATCAAGTCTGTAAGTCTCTCTTCGTTCTGCTTAGATCTTCTGTTGATGCAACAAGGGATTGTGACAAGGAGATTAGAAATACATTACCATGTTCTAGGCCATAATGTAAATAAGGCATCCTAAATTCTTGTGGTTTTGTGTGCTGTAGGCATGCAAAATGGACTTTTGAGTTATGGCTTTGATTTGTGTTGTTTCTGCCTTAACATTAGAGTAAGGATTTTCCTTCATCTTCATTAGGATGGTGAGTATGAGTTCTCTTAAATACAGCCGTTTGGGTGGCCTTACATGCTTTTCATGCGTGGGATTTCTCATATGTCATAAAATTAAAGAATTTTGATATCTTGATGTCCAGTTTGTTGTGTAAATGTCAAAATACAGGAGAACAGGCTTTCAAAGGATATTACTTTTTTATTGAAAAGGTAAATGCTAGACATAAAATGCTAGCCCCATTCTTAGAAGTACGTTAATAAGTAGCAGGCTTTCAGAAATAACCTTGGGGGAGCTGCTTTGCGCAGGGAGTTCTTTATTTAGAAAGAATTATTTTGATTTTTAAGGATATAAAAGATAAATCGGTAGATTTAGACACTGAGTATTTAAAATACTAGTGCTAATTCCACAGCACGTTGTTCATATGGATGGCTATTAGCACACATTTAGAAGTAGTTTTTTTAATTCGTATTGGATTGCAAGAAATTGTAATTGCTAATTCTTACATTTATTTCCATCCTGAATTATTCAAAATACCCTGAATTTTTTTTTTTAAACTCTATCTCTGAGTGTTAATATCCATATTGTTCCTGAAGTCTTTGGCATGGATAATTTATAATTAGATAAGGATAGGTTATGGCAACAAAATCACCTAAGTTAATGCTTGTGTTATGGTTATAAACACTACCTGATCATGACAAAATATGTCATCTTACAACAGAGAAGAGGCTTCATTCTGGTTTTAAAAGTTTAATATAAACCAATGTGACAGATTTTTAGTGTTAATCAGCTGTACATTAAAGGAGAGCTATAGCTTTTGCCATCCAAGAAAGACCATTTTCTCATCTTTACAAGTGTGTGAATTGTACATTTGAGCAAAAAMGTTGGAACACTTCAGGGAGGCTGAAATACTGCTGGTTTTAGCTGCACATAGTTGGCATATTCAGATTAATCTATGGATTATGTTGGTTCTACCTGAAATACTTCTATTGGTAGTAAGAACCACAAATCTTTGAGGGCTTAATGTTTTAGTATAGTAAGTGTGTAACTTAGTGAGGCGTTTAGTGTGGTGGGTATTGCTTTCAGTGCTCCTTTTTTTTTCTTCCAGTTTCTAAACTCCATGTTTTAGATCTGTTATTGTTGTGCTTTGTTGGCTTTTTTTCTATTTTGAGAGCCTAATCGTATATAACCCTGGGCAATTAAGTCACCTGTTTTACAGTGGATTTGCAACTGACAGAAGAAAATTGACAAAACTATAAATATTGTACAGTTCTGTAAAGCCTTATCATGGTATCAGATAATTAAGGTTAGCATTAGTGTTTAAAAAAAGAAAAAGTTTGAAAAATCTGTATATGTGCAGTAACCTTCCTCTCTAACTGATGTGCAAATTCGGCTTGATTCATGAATCAAATGTGATATTAGCCTTCTTCCTCTTTCCCCTAGACTTTGTGCTGAAGCAAACCAACGAAACTTGAGACCAAATACATTATTGGCTTTCCTACTAACAACATTCTTAAGAAAATAAAAGCCGTTTTCCATCAATATATGTTGTTCTGAAATGCGACATTACCCTTAACCTACTATTTTCATTTGTCTACCTCTTTTATTCTCCTAGTAAGATTTAAGAATATATTTTTGTAAACTATCCATTGAGGTAATGAAGCATTTAATAGTTTGTGCAGAGGTTAAGGCAGCTGTGACTGTTTTCAGTAGGTTTTCATGGAGACTGCTTTCCTTTTGAAATGTTACAAATTTTTATAAATTATTCTGAGCATAAATTCCAATTTCTCATAAAAATTCATTTTGAATTGTAAAAGAATTTTACTAGTACAGAGCATTAATGCTTAATATTAAACTAATCTGAAGCTGAACAAACTTGACTTCCATTCTAAACTGGTGTCCTTTTTCTCTGGCTGACTATCATCCTAAATAGATCAGCAAGACGAAAATCACAATTTGGTTTTCACTATATTTGTTCTTAGTTGCTTTCTAATGGCTTCACTTAAGTAATCTCTCTTGAGACTGCAGGACTGGCAACATTTTGCTTAGTTCCTAACTTTCCTTAAATTTCTCTCCAGTTTACCMTGGTCATCCTTGTCCCTGCTGATGTTGTTTTTCTTTTTCCTCCTACATTTTGGTAAGAGGGACTCGCTTCAGGAAATGTTGTTTCCTTTTCCTGGTATCTTCCACAAACCCCATCCAGCCGCAAGCTGAAGGTCTGTGTGGACAGTCATTGCAGGCCAGTTTCAAACTAAAAAAGTTGCTATTTTTGCTCAATGTCACAGTGAAAAATGGATATAAAGCCACTTAAATATAGCAGCCAGAAAAAGAACAGTAATTGCAAGGAATATCAACTAATTGGTACTTCTGTATAATTCAGTACCATATACTGACTTTTTAGCCACCCAGTGCAAAATCAGTTGTTTAGCTTGAAACCTCAACCTTGAAAAAGTAAAACCTCATAGTTTGCTTTACAGTCCAAGTGATTTGCTGACAAGGTGACCGTATGGAGTTAAAAGCATCCAGCATTAGATGGTTTGAGGAGCATGGCCAAGGTAGACATGTGGAAGAAAAAAGCCCCAAAAGAGGAAATGTGTAAGTTACATCAGGTTCCAGAATGTTCATGTAACAGCTGTAAAGAGAGAATTTAGTTTCATTTTGCATCAAAATGTTAGTATCTGTTTCTCCTGCTGACTCTTTTTAATTACTTTAACTGAATTTCAGTCCCTCATGCAACTCTCACCATGTATAAGGATTGCAATTCACTTAAAATCATTAGTATGTTAAATGCAGTGCATTTTAGCTAAGACATGTCCTAGACATTATTCAGTTAAGGCTAATCTGTTCACAATGTYGAGTATTTAGTTTAATTTACTTGAGAAAACTTAAAGGTATTGGATGCTTCATAGAAACTCAAACTTGCCTTTAAATTTTCTAATAAAATCAATATCTACACTTTGAATTCTTGAAATGTAACCGAATTCGAAGGGACGCATACCTGTAGATTTTAATTGGGTTTTAAATTTTTATTTCTGAATTTGAGGAAACATACTGCAGTATGATGAATTATGTAAGTTGTGTACTTGTGTTGATTTGTGTGTATTTTAGTGCTCATTATACAGGGCTTGAAGTCTTACTGTGAAGAAAATCTGAAAGTTCTGTAAAATATTTATAGAAGTATGAAATCTTTTGCAGCAATTGTTTTTTTGCTTATTATGTAATATCAAAGTATATTGTTAGATTAAACTTTTCAGTAAGTTGACTTGGAATTTTTCTGACAGGTTATTTTCCTCTGAGGCGTTAAATCGGTTGTTTGCAGTTCTCATCTTTTAGGAAAGAAACACTTGGGAAAAAAAAATCATAATTGAATAATAATTTATAGCCCTATGACAGCATCTGAGAATCTCTTGATTTGTCTTGAATTTTGTTTCTTAAAGGGGTTGTGTTTTATACTACCTTTTTAATAAACAAACTCGTGAACAAAGCGTCTTTCTGGTTAGTTTTGAGCGAGTGCCTTTCTTTGCCTTTTCACCAAACAGGGAGATGCGACGTGGGCTGCACGGGGCCGTYGGCTCGCGAGGCTGCGCGTTCACACGGGAGCAGGGAGGGCTGCAGCCCCCCGTGCACATCACGAGTCCTCTGTAGGGCAGCGKCTGTCACATCGTGCAATAATCCAGGTGCCAGTGTCACCTCCACGCAGCGGTGGCTCCTGGGTGCTCCTCCATAAAGCTGCCACCCCCAACAGCTCAGYACCTGCAGTATTTATATATTATTTATGCATTCTGCCGAACTGCTGCGTGTTCAACCACTACAGGATGGGTTAGCTTTTCTCAACGTGGCCGTATGTGATTTTTTTTTTAATAATGTGATTTTTAGGTAACTGTGCATGTGCTACTGCCTCCTCCTAAGCCGGAGGGCTCCTTGAGGTGGTGGTTGAGCTGCCCCCAGCCAGAATTAACTTCTCATTTCCTCACGCTCAGTCAAKGTGTATGTGGAAAACCAACTTGCAGCTGCTTCCTCAGGCCTTTGCCTAGTAGGTTTTTTGGAGCATTCACCTCAGAGTAGGTTTGGTAGAACATGTGGCCTGGCAACCATATGAGTGATTTAATTGCCATCCTATAAGGAAACTCTTAAACACCTTCCTTTAGCAGAATAAATTTCTTTTTTGTTTTTTGTTTCTGTTTTTAATAGGGAAGAAGAATTGAAAAAGGGGAATAAAAGAACATAGTTCTAACCTCRTGTTTGACACTTGCAGGTTCCAGAATTAAATGGGTTAAATGTTATTTAATCYATTTATTTAAAATGTTATTAAATCACTGAATTGCAATGTTATTTATACAAAGAATATGCATTATGTGTGTCAGTAAAAGACCAAGCGCTCTCCATTCATGYATATTTGAGCAGAGGGAATTGAATTGGGCTCTTCTACTTTTTGAGAGGATAACTAAAACTCTTAAGCCACTGGAGAAAAACGATGCAAGAAAGTCACTGCCAGTTTGGTGAATCTAGTTGACAATGTATTTTTCCCAGGGAAACTGGTGAATCTGACTGATTTGCCATTTCTGGAATAAGCACAATTGCATTTTGGCCAACTTAACTAGAAAAATAAAATCCCTGTTTGTTGCTACTGCTTTTATAGAGCAAGAATGATGGTTTTGTTTGTTTCCCTTCTCTGAAGATGTATGTAATCATTACAACAGACCCAGAAGAGGCAGAATTGGTTATCTGTTTTATCTGAGATGGAGGCAAATGACCTTTTCCCTCTTACAGGCGTTCCTAGCTACACACTTAATACTGAAAGTAACATAACTTGTCATAGGAAAGGTTTCTTTGACCTTAGCCAAGTTGCTGGTTTGATTCTTTGCCATGATTTGTTTACCATTTTACTGTAAACTCTTCTGAAGTCCAGACATTGTCTTCTTGATTGTGTACACATTGCCATAAAAAAAAAATACTGCTTAAAATCCTATTTTCCTCATTCCTGAACCTCCCAACCTGGTTGACTTGTTGGAGTGCATTTCATGCATTCTTAGTAGCTAAGCTGAAGGAAACGCCTAGTTCGGTCACAGCTAGAGGCTAGAAAGCTTGTAGGGAGTTCATGAACGTTGCTCGTCTCTTCCTGTAGCCACTACGGAGAGCTTCAATCCACCCGGGAGGAGGATCACGAACTGCTGGGCACCGTAATGACCATCCAGCATGTGGAAGGTACTGCCAGCGTGACAGAGCTCTTGACAGTGAGTTAAGGTAAGAGAACTGAATGAGAAATTCAATGCGTGCTCAGTTACTTAAATTACTCTGACACTCCCTTATCTAGAAGATACTTAATGGAGGAGAAGGTCTTCCCATAGAGTTCTGCCTGGTGCTTGGAAAGGGCACTTCTCATAGCAGAACAAGGGCTGGACGTGTGAAAGACTTCACGGTGCTGTTGCCCATGGTGAGCAGTCGAACGCGACTCCTCCGAAGGTTGTGTTGACTGCGTGTTCCTGCCCCGTGAGGGACAAACAACTGACACTGCTGTAATTGCCCTGTTCTGAGGGTAGTTGAAGGATAGATGAGTATCTCATTGTCAACAGCCCCACTTCTAAGTGTGTTTTGGCAGCAGCTTGTAGCAGGCACAGGCTGGAAGGGCTCCTACCTTCTTTTTTGTAGACTCCCTGCTGGAAAATGGAAAGCTCAGGTAATGAAAACTGGAGTGTTTCCAAGTCCTCACTCCTGTGACCCTGGCATTTAGTTCACCTGAGAAGTGAGGTACTGCCTGTTATATCCAGCTATCCCCAGGAAGGCACAAGAGGCTTTTCCGGGCAGGGAATAGATAAATTACCATTCTTGCTTTGGAGTGTGTTATTCCTTCTAAAATTGCCACTCTACAGTTGTCACAACTTGCAAAAGGAGAGGACTGTGACAGTGAATACACACCAATAAACAGTGGTAAAGGAGCTTATCGTTCATGTTGAGCAAATTAAGCCCCTTAATAAAGCAATATAAAGACACAGTGGCTTGTTTGCAGTGAGTGAGGACCAAGAGAGATGGTCTTTTGGACCAGAGCTAATGYTTTTTAAACTGCATGTTGATTTGTGGTGCTGGAGCGGTGTAGGAAGAGCTATTTTGCTGCTTGTGTKGAGATCACCTGATGTTTTTCCTTCTTAACGGATGGTTGATGAAAGCCTGGCAAAGTTGTCAGCACTCGAATTGGAATTTTCCATGGCAAGGATCTGCCTCTAGCTGAGCAACCAAGAGCTTTCCCAACATAAATAGTGTACTTTTTTCTAAAACAAGATTGAGAGAAAAAAAGAAATCATGTCCATTCCTGCACTTAAAGTTCTTCCAGTTGTTTGGCTGGAATGTGTTAGTTCCCACTCTCCCCATACCTTTTGGTATAGGTGCCCCCTATACCACTGTGTTCAGATGGATGGGAGATTGAAAGGATGCAGGAAAAGCAAAGCCATGAAATCTAAGATGAAATGTGAGATCCTTTGGAGTCTGAACGTGATTTGGTTGTAGATGAGAGGGGATTAGACTGAGCACAACACAGGAGAAAGCAGAGTTTATGGATGGAAATAAATGATAAAAATGGATGAGAAGTTTGGAGATGGAAGGATCCCAGGAGGTGGGGACATGTGAGTTTACATGACTGCATAGCAGACAGTAAGGGAAAAAWAACAGTAAGACGGAAAGAGAGGTTTTGACCCGGCTTTGGGGGTTCAGTGAGTAGAAGCAAGTGATAAAATCAAGGACTGAAGGTTAAAGCTTAGTCACGAAAAGGTGGCTAGGTATGTTTGATAATCCTAATCCTCCTATTTCCTAATATCTAAAAGATTTGAGTTTATAGCTCAAACWTTTTTCAAACAACGAGTGTTGTTTGAACGCTCTTTTCATGCTTAAGAAACGCTGAGAGACAATTCGGAGGCAGCTCTTGCAGAAGCTTCAAAGCACCCTCCAGAGACACACAGATGAGTGTCGTGTTTACTGGGGAGTGCCTGAGGACGGAGGTTTTATGATTTAGAAACAACAAAACCAATTTGAAAATACAGGGGACTGTGATCATATCTCTGATGATCACCAGGCTGGATGCATTGAAACACAGAGCCAACAGCTCATTAGTTTTTGCATGATAAAACCAGCCATAGAGCAGACACCTGTAACCTCACGTTGAGCTGCAGCTCGTGTTAGCAGCCTTGCTACCAAAGCTTTAATGGAGTGACAAACCCATTGTGCTGCCAGGTAAGGTGTTTTTGTTACTTGCTTAAAAGCACTATTTTACTTACCTGAATTTGGTATAGTTTGCATTTCCAGTGATTAAAACCTGGAATAACATTTTTTCTTGCTATTTTTCTAATAGGTGAAGCAAGTAACTACCCTCAGAAGTCTCTTCCTTGTGCAGGTGTGTGTTAACAGGCATCAAGGTACTTCAGACTTCCCCTTCTCCAAAGTTTATCCATTCTTTCGTTATAATAGAGGGTTTATTTGTAGCTTCAGATATTTTTTCTCCTTTAAACTTTGTATTCACTCTGTCAATATTTTTTTTCCAACAACACAGAAACCAAAACTAAACAGTGTATTTTGATAAGTTTGCCTAGAATTCTATCCAGAGTTGTTAATATCATTTCTGTGCTGTCCATGTAGCTTCCTAAGTGCTTAGTTCTTTTTGCAAGCTTTGCATCCATTCGAGCAGGTTTTGTTCAGTGTCAGGTCCCAAGCTCAGGGTAAGCAGGGGTAATATACGGTAGCTAGTGGATAAATGTGTCCAGTTTGTTCTTCAGTACATACAATGGCTCTGACAGGTAACCTGTGCAAGGCTGATATCCTTCATAACTCCTGCATCTCGTGGAGTCACTGCCTTCAAGATGCAGTTCTCCTTTACTAATGCTGCCCACAGTACAGTGGTGCCAAATTTGCAAACCATTCTGCATGGGTTAAATTGAAAGTTTTCTCACTTTTTATGCTATTTAGTTCATATTAGATGTATGCAATAAGGAAATCATGAAAGAAAAGGTGAATGGCAAAAGTAAAGCCCAGATGAAAAATCAAATCTTACTAATAAGTTCTTCTGGTGCTGCCAGTTCCTGGAAGAAGATAGGCTCACCAGAATGCAATTGAAGTTGAAGAGCACTTCACTTCTCTTATGAGTTTGGGTTTTTTTCGGCAGGGGCTGGTGGTTACCGAAAATGGAAGAAACAAGGAAGCTCTTTCCAAAGCCGTGTAAAAGCAAAGAACCCGTGAAAACCGAATGGGGATCGCAGAGCGTTGTGTTTACCTATTTCCAAGGGGACATTAACAGTGTGGTGGATGAACATTTCTCTAGAGCTCTAAGCAACGCCAAAAACCCTCAAGACCTGAGCATGAAGCACAAGAGCGAGGCTGTTGTCCTGAAGAACGGTGAGCTGCTTCCTACGAGCAATAAATGCATCCTGACTTTAGGATTTTTTGTCAACTTTGCAAGAAGATATTTGTCTAAGCTTGCAAATATTAATACCCTGCTTATGTCAGCGGTCTGTAAGGAAAAAAAATGGTAATATTTATCTGAAATACTGATAGTGGTGAGTTAGGCCACTTTTAGTATGTGTTTTATTGGTTTTTTTTTTTTTAAGACAAGCAGTGCTAAAGTGAATACATGCTTGTAAATGAATATGCAGCCTTGTAGTTTTCCCTTAGAGGTTTATTGGAGCTTGGGTTGGAATAAAAGTAGGAACTAATGGGACTTCAAATCTTTTTTTTTTTCCCCCTTCTTTTTGTTTTCCTCATTCTTTTTTCTTTTTTTTTTTCCTTTTTTTAAACTAGATAGCATGTCTCCCCAGCAGTGGAATTACCCTTCACATTGCTCCAAGCCRTATCCATCGCCGTCTGCCACGAGCATGTCAAATTCCGCTCTGAATTTCGCGGCCGCCGGCATGGCTGGCCAGTACCAACCATCAGCCCTACGGAGTCACCTGGCTCAGCCCGCGGATTTGTGGCCTTTCCCTTCCATGGGATCTCCCAGTCTTTCCAGCTCGGTGTATCATCATGCCCTCCCTGACCTGCACGTGGACGATGAGCCCATCTCCRACAGGAAATACGGATCTCTTCTTGGTCTCCTGCAGCAGGAAAGGTGCCTAACGTCCATGCAGGAATGTGCCATGAAGCAACACTCTAGTTCTGCTTGTATTACTGGACCTGCTAGGTTACAAAATATAAGCCAAAGTTTAACTCCTGGGGGAGGTAAGGAAATATTTGCTATCGTTTGATTCTTTGATGGCATCTTATGTAAAGAGACAAAGTAATGCACTGTGTTCTGAAGGTGTTTAAAAACAGCTATTTTCAGACTAGCTGGTGGAAAGTTTTTGTCCAGTAGATGAGTAAAGCTACGTCCTGTGGTGCTTGGAATTCACTGGCCATAAAGCACAGCTTAAAAAAAAAGGCTCTGCCAGTTACTACAATTCTTTCTTTTCTGGCTTATGTTATGGAGATATTTTAAGTGAATGTAAAATTATTCAGTGCTGGCAGGATTTACAGCTGGTAGGTAGCTTCCTTCAGCATTTTTCCACAAAATACTGCCGCACTGTGTGTCCAACACTGCGACTGTTCTCTGCAGCTGACTTGCCAGAGATAATGCAATTCATATGGGAGTTTTTCTTTTATTTTTGCTTGTTTATTAACAATTACTAGAAATTGCAATGGTAGGTGCTGCCAGCACAGAGAAAAGAGCTGGCTGGTGACTGCACTGAGTCTGCTTTCCCACCAAAATATTAATAATAGCAAAAATAATGATGCACTGATAGGTGCTACTGAATTAAAGCCTAGTTCCCAAGAATTTCTATCTCTAAAGATCTAGGATTGTTGCATAAAACTGCTCCCTTACAAGTAATTTCTCCCTGAGGAAGCTCTCTGGGATCAGGCTTCCAGCCCTGGTGCTTTCAGGGGATGCCAGCATTGCTGTTTTGGGACATTACTCACATAATCACCTTGSCAATGGTCTCCAAGGAAAAAGGTTGTGAAAATGTTAGGGAGTCCGCTGGAAAAATATAGAAAATCCTAACTGGTGCTTCGAGATAAAAGGACAACGCGTGTGAAGAAGCAATATTAAAATCGTGAGTTGTGAAAACTTACCAGCTGTGAAATACCTGGTTTCTAATCTCCATTATCAGGAATTAGGCAAAATATGGGCTAAAATATATCTGCATGCAGYTTTACCCATAGTTTGCCGTGTAAGGCTATGCTGAATTTACGTTTGTTGCAAGGAACTCAGCTGTAGGTATGTTGCTAACCTACCTCTACTATAGCTTGCAATATTTGTCTGCGCCCATGCATGGAATGTGGAGAGTGTCTCTTCAGCTGGAATATTATGGTTTTTGCTGTGGGAGATGGATTTAGCTGACAGTGCATGCATTGCAGACATGCTCAACTGWTTCCAGTTATTAAATGACAGTCTGATTACTTTAAGGACACCGCCTGGAGTTCTAGGACTTAATACAAGAAGGTTAAGTGCTGCCTTGCCYCAAGCACCAAAACAACAGGAGCCTTTCGTGGCTTGGGAAATGGTACTAACAGAGGTAGAGTTTTATTCAAAATATCAGGAAGAACTCACGTGCAAAAACGAAATAGAGAAAGAAAAAGAAAAGTTTGTTGTTCCTCAACCATCGCTGTGTAAAACCTTCTCTTTCAGGACATTTACAAGGCCCTTCTAAGTATCTAAAAAGCTTCAGAGCACTACACATGTAACACTGTACATGTTCTTATCAGGCAACAAGATATATAAGCGACTGGCCCRTGTTCCCAGGGAGTCTTTGGCAACTCCCTAGGATGGGTGCATCTAGTCTGGCTGTTGGAGCCCCTGTTTCTTGGTTGTAGCTGTTAAATATACTTCTCATTGCACTGTGTCGTGTTTAAGAACAGCTGATCCTTATATTTACAGAAGGCTATATTGCTGTGCCAGCCAGCACAGAGCTCCCCAGCACCTGTGCTGTAGGCTGGGCTGCAAAAGCACAAGGCTTCTTTAGGAACTACTGTCTGATTTTAGCTCTGTGTTGAATCTCTGCTCATCTTCAGTATTTTATTTTTTAAGAGAGGAAAGCAAGCTCTTACCAAGGCTCAGAAAATGCCAGTGCAAGCCATGCCACCGCAGGTGAGTTCTGCAGCCAGCAGGTTTGGGCAAATTAAGTCTCAGCTGTGCAGGATAGCTGCCTTTCTTGTACAGAATTACAGCTTCTTTCTTCCTTGCTTGGGGACTGCATTTCAAAAACTTAATAAGATATATTTTCTAACTCCTTCTGTCTTAGTTTCTGTAGTGGTACCACTCACTGCCTAGCACTTAACAACATGCATATTTTGCACTGTCTGCCTGAGTTTCAGATCCCAGAACGTTACCAAATGAAAGATTTTATCATAATCCGAACTACAGAAATTTCTTGGCTCCTCTGCCAATGAAATCCAAACGTTCTGCTACGTTGCTCTGCAGGTTCTGTGCTTGCCACRTGTCCCCAAGGGTGGTCAGGTGTGTGCTTAGTAGAGTTCATTGGTTCTCAAGAGCCCACGTCAAGGCTGAGCTCCCTGGCTCTTCAGGCATCGCTCCCCTTTTAACCAACAAATCCACCGCACTAATAGAGCTCTTCTTTTAAGAGGAGATTCCCAGAGCATTCAGACTGCAAAAATTCTGAATTCATTCAGCATTCGGGAGCATTCAGGCTCTGGAAATTATTTTTATTTGTCTCTTGAGGCTGTAGCAGGTGTTTGTTACACGGATGCTGGTTCTTTAGTGCGCAATGTTTTGGGGAGACACGATGGGTCATTCTGGTTATTCTGGTTAGGGCCTTGTTGCATCAGAGAAGGCCACAGGTGCAACTCTGTTTGCACAACATTTTATGGCACGTGCTGTGTGACGGTCCTGACACTGCTGTATCTTCCAGGTATACAGACTCACGACAGAAGAGGAGATCTGTACTTTTAGCAACTCGATGTTTCTACTTTATCCTTGAAGAGAGAGCTCTTCTTCCTGTGAACTCTGATCATTTGCAACTGTGAATCAAGAAGAAASGGACTGCAGCCATTCTGTGCTTTTTTTCTGTCAGCTGGAAGAATGTGTGTATTATTCACTATTTTAGGAATGAAAATAATCTTCCTCTATTCAGTAAATAATTTCTCATGGTTGGATTAAACCTGACAGAGTATATTTGCCATGAAGATGAAGACTCACTGTCTACTGAAGGATTTTCACTTAGTCCTCTCTGAGAGGACTCTTAGCACTTGCTGATCTTTCTGTGTTTGTTCATTTACCATCTAAGAAACTCATTTTTATTGCAGAGGGATGCATTTGGCCCAAATTCAGGGCTACAGTTTCATATTCTGATTTAATAGCTCCATATTGTTGAAAATAGCCTAAGAGAGTGGCCCTGCTTGCAAGGGCCTTCAAGGCAACCATAGGCCAGAAAAGAACATTATCATATTCACATTTTGGAAGCACAGTAATTTGTAACCCTATTTGCAGTTCACAAGGACATTCTCCAGAAATGCATATGCCTCAAGGCTCTGTTTTTGCCTCTCATAATTATCTTCTAGAAAATACAGTGAATTAATACTGGATCTGGGAGGAAATTGAGGTCCTTGCTCAGCACAAGAAAAAATGCCACAAAAAGCAAAAAGCAAAAAGCTGGAGCTGGGAATGGTCTGTGTTTCCAGTCTCCTTATAGATCTTGGGTTCTCTTTCTAAATAAGCCCRGTGTGATCCTCTCAGCCCTCCTCTGTTCAGCAAAAGGGGTTGCCCCAAATTGTACCTCGGTTCTGCAATTTCTCATCTTCCTCTTCACGTCACCACTCACCCATGGCAAATATGTTTGCTGAAGTTACAGAGAGTAAAACCTCATGTGATTGGTATTTAGGTCTGCCTATGTAATCACTGCAGTAAGAGGGCTACTGCTTTAGGTTGCCTTCAGAGTAAATTCTTAGGATATAAAAGAAAAATGGTTTGATTTTAGTCCTCCTTCATTAGCTATATATTCATTTAATATATAGGAGCACTCTTAATTTTGCCTAATAAGTCTGTGTAGTTACTTAAGGAAATTTGACCTCTAGAATCTGCATTTTATGAATTATTGGATGAATCCTTAGTTGATATAAGTGTTTATGGTCTGCTTAAACACTTTATCCTTAAGGTCTGAAAAGACATGAAATAGGAAATAATTTATTTGCAATAATGGCATTATTATTATTATTATTATTATTATTATTATTATTATTATATTTTCCAATGGACAGCAGAGATTCAAACAACTTGCTCCATGAGCCCTGCCCAGAGATGAATATGAAGGAAAACAGCTGTTCTCTTGTTTGACATGCACGTCTTGAGAGGAGCCTGGGACTTTGCAAAAAGCTACCTATTTTATTAATTAATTAATACGTATTAACTCTATATTTTAAACCATGCACCCCCCTGGACGCAGCAGGGATGTTCTCCTGAGCTTGGCTGGTCCTTGCAGGCAGCTCTGAGCAGATGGCCACATTCCTGCTCTTGCTCTGATGGTCAGATAAACCTTGTGGGTGGCTGGGAGCTGCTTGACTGGCTTGGTTACTCCACCCCAAGTTCTAGTCATTCGTTAGAGGTGTTAAAAATAGTTCCTTACTGCAGGGACAAACAGGAGAATGTTTAGGGTTTTTTTCATAATTAAAGTAAAACTTAAAGGTTAAAAAAATGACTGGGTAACTCAATCATGGTCTTCATAGGTTGGACTGTAGATTACATGGCCTGATCTTTGTTTAGTACCTTTTTCTTTCCCTTTGGGACAAGGGACCCGTGGCCCTTGTCAAGCAGGTGTTTAGCTGAAGTCAGTCTGGTGCTGAACTACTGCAGAAGGTGACGGAGGCAGGACAGTGTGTCGGCACATGGAGGTCTGTGGTGCTGCTAATCCTGCCCGAGCGCGGGCAAGAGATGCTGGGGCCACAGGCTGCACTTGCCAGGGGACGGGGTTCTGCAAGGGACATGAGCTCACAGCGATGCCAACCCTGCCATCCAACCAGGGCCCTGAGCCCAGAACCCACAGCCCATTCCTCCCACACCACACAGGGACCCTCCCTTCCTATTGCCCTTGGTTTTGTTCAAATAACCTGATTCTCTGTTAAAAACTTTAGCAGCACATAGGGTTTGTGAAACGCATGTTCATCACAGGCCCTTCGGGCTGCCTGCAGCTTTGTAGACCTCCCTCCGGCCGTGGGGACGGCCCTGCGGCTGTGGGAGCAGCTCGGAGCGTCGCAGGAGGGCTGGGATCCATCTGGGATGCGTCAATGCGCGGCACCTTGCAGCTCTCCGGACTAAAGGTGCGCGAGGTGGAAAGTGCCCTGCACCCTGGGCAACACTGCCGAGGTCTGGAAACAGGGATCAAAGCAACTTCCAATTTATAGAAGAAAAATAATGTCAGAAGCGGCTTGTGTGGGAAGTTCCTGAGTGGTGTTGGGCAGGGGGAGAAGCAAACAGGGTAGYTGGGGGCTTGTGACTGCTGCACTTTGCTCTGCTGTTGGTGAGAGGACCCTCTCTTCCTATAAGGTCTCATTTAAAGTGCCTTTTCTTCACTTCTCTATTATTCCTCATTCCGTCGTTTCATCTCTCCTGCCTGCCTGTCTCATGTCCCTGTCATGCCTGATCTGGTTGTTGCGGATGCCACTGAAGCCTGCTGTCAAGGAGCAARGTTTCATTTTGGTTTTCATCCTTTTATTTCTCTTAATCATTTAGCACCATGGACCCATGCAGAAAAGTGACTGGCTTCTCAGGAGAGGGCTAATGACAAGTGACAGGTAGGGACAAATGGAATAGTCCTCTRGCTGGACGTTTCAGTGCATAGAGCATTTTAAAAAAAGGTATAAAAAGATTTAAGGGAAGTGTCCTGGCTTTAGTTAAATTACCACATACCTAAGATGTTTTAGACAGATGATACTATCATAGCTCTACCTACCATTCATTGATGCTGGATTGGTTCCATGTTTTAATAAAAGATTAACGTCAAAATAGTCCATTCCCCTACCTTAAGGTCTCAGCCATAGCTGCTGCTTGTGTTCATGCAGAGAGCAGTCGGGCACAATTTGCTTGTGTTTCATAAAGGTCCTGGGAGCAGCCCTGAGGATCGTGTGGCCTTCAGGTCGTGCAGCATCCAAGGTGGGTGATTTATTCCTGCCCAGAAAGGGTGCAGTTAGTTGGGACGAGGGTTTTTGAGTCWGCTCCATGCAAACCCTAAGCACCTCTCGTCAGTCTGTATGTTCTTCAGCAGGACATACAGTAATTGCCAGAGACCTGCCCTGAGTGTGCTTGGCTGTCTGGGGTTTGTCCGGATGTGGACTGTAGAAGCAGGACCAAAATGTCATTATTTGCCCTGTTTCTGGCAAAAAAAGTATCATGGAGGATGCAAACTCTTAAACTTRGGTTCAAGTGGGGTATGTTTTTGCATTTTCTTTCAGGGCAAGAAAAACAGATCGAATCCCCATCACTTTGCTTTYGGGACCCCAGCATCCCTAGGGCAGTCGCTGCTCAGGCCATGCCTGTTACCAGCCTGCCCGGATCTGGGGATCTGTCTATTTTTGCAAGGAAATTCTGCCATCTCAGGCTCCTGCAAAGTCCAGGCAAGCATCACGTACCCGTCCCCATAGGAGTGCAAAAATGCCAATGTTTTTACCTACCTGCTTCTCAGCAGTGTTGGAATAGGTAGCGTTTTTTTCCCACTGATTCTTGTTTGCAGGGAAAAGCTGGAAATAGTGGTGAGAAATAACTGCAGGGAACCATCTCAAGTGATGCAGCAGGGAGCTCTCRTGTCATCTTTTCCAAAATAGTCTGTCAGATTTTTTCTGGGCAGTTTTCCCACACTGATGGGCCTGRGGGCACGAAACAGCCATATAGCAGTGAGTAATGAGAACAGCTGCATGTCTTTGAGCAAAAACACTCGGGAAGGGAGGGCTTTCATGGAAGCAGATGAGTCTTCTCTGCCATTTCTCCTTGCCTAGGAAGATTCTTTTTGTAGGTTTGCAAAATAGGGGAGCATAGGAACCCTATGGTTATTTCCCCATAGACATCCAGTCCCCAGCCCCTATGTTCAGAGCTGCGGTAAACACTGAAATCTGCTTTAATGTAGGCAAAGCCCAAACATTTTCCAGCTTGCTTTCAGCCTACGTGATTATTAGACACAAACTTTAGAGCACCCAGCAGTGTACAATTAGCTTCAGCCACGGCAGCGTTGTCCTTGCATCTGACTTGATGTCAATACGAGCATCGTTGTCACACATCTCTACAGACAAGAGCGAAGGGAAAATTAGCCCAGCCAGTCGATTTGGCTGAACCTGAAGGCTTTGGGGATCATGTTCTGATGCTCCTTTAGCGATCTTGAAAGGAGCGAGAGAAAACTGTAATTAAACCAAACTCTATGTGAGCATCTGTCACAGGGCCAGTTTAACCTCTTTGTGTCAAACATGTATTTTTGTTGATATATTATTTGTGACACACTTCTGGTACCTAAGAGTGTTATTAATGCAGAATTTGGCTTGATTTAAGTAATTAAATAAGTAAAATTGCACGGCTTCCCTTGCCTATGCTTTTTGCAGGATTTTTATGCTACAATGTTAGTTCTTGGTGTATATTTTTGAGTGTGCATCTTGGTTAATACATCTAGTTTTATGGTTTATTATTTAGTAGACTGTGCAGCTGATGATCTGTCAGCACTCAGGTTTTCACTAAGCAAATGCCATTGGATATGAAACTTCCTGCCAGACTGCATTTGGATTTGGTTTGTTTCTATACTTCTTCAAGAGTTTTGCTCCTAAAACTTCAGTCACAGTAATGATGGCTTTGATAATTTAATTCTTTTCTGGCTATAAACTTGAACAGCTTTTTTGTCTGATAATGAAACCATCTGTTTGGGAAAGCAACCTATGAGGCTCAGTGGAAGAGAGAAAATGTACAGCGCATGCTTGCTGCACCTGCATTTCCCTTGCACTTAGTCCTCAAAAGGCGGTGAAACAAATTGCCKGCAGGCAAACCTGCTCCCACAGCTCCGGCTCCACACCCTGGCTGCGTCCTCGGGAGCCGCGCTGCATCCCAGAGCTGCCGTCACCGGCACAGCGTGGGAAGGAAGCTCCCTGTCAGATGTAGCCTGCAGAAATGCTACGGGACTCTGTTCTTTTCCAGCATGTAACTAAACTGTGGGGCTCCCAGTCCAGGGATGCTGTAGAGAGCAGCACGTCTAAATTCAGCTCTCCAAATGCCATCTCCTGGTCAGGAGGATACAAACTATGGGCTGGCATAAGCTGGGAACATCATTCCCTTAATTATCAGCTGCTGTTGGAGATGGGATCCGGGCCTTTGCTCCGAGTGTAGGAGGGCGAGGCTCCCTGCGGTGTCTCCCGAGCTCCGGCGGGGCTGGCCCAGCTCCCTTCTGTGAGGGCTGCACGGAGCATTCCCGGATTGGACTATAATCCTGCACTGGGTTACAATCCAACCCTCAGCCTGTTTAACGCTGACGGGTGCACTTCTTTATCCCGCACTTCGGTCCATGTGAGATTTCCTGCACTGCTGCCGTTCAAGCTGGACGAAACCCTGCGCGTCCAAAGCAATTCAGAAACTCAGAGTCTGCCAAGCGCTCCCTGTATTTTAATCCTATCGCAGAGCTGCTCGCAAGCGCTCTTTTACTCGGTCTCGTCCCTCTTCTGGCCTGGAAAGTGTCACCACAGGGGGACACCGCGGTCTCCGGCAGGAGCCCCCGCGCTCCACGGCTCTCAATGAACTGCCGCCTCTCTGAGGCCGCCCTGCGTTCACACGGGCGCGGAGCAGCGAGGTGCCCTGATAAAGAAGGGCCCGGGTGCTCGCTCCGCCCGCCCGCGCAGCCGCCTCTAACGGCCGCGGTAACGGCCGCGGGCGGGCGGCGCTACGGCGGCTGGCGAGGGCCAAGCGCCGCCCCCCTGCGCGCGCCCCGCCCCTCCTC